TGTGAATAAAAATTTAATAGTAATAAAAATAAAAATTAATATAATAACAATAATAAGAACAAAGTTTAAACTTTAAAGTAGTTCAGTAGACTAGCATCTGTGCTGTGTATTAAAAATTAAATGACCGTTTTTGTTTCTTTGGTGTCAGATGACTTTTTCAACCACCCATTCTTCAGTCCAACTCCAACCAAAAGCAGTTAGGCTTTTAAATTAAATTGTGTAATATTTCGTTCTTTTAACAACAATAACAAATAATTATTATTTTTATAATTCAATAATTATCATTCGGTTATTTACTTGATTATATTATTAATGTGTAATATTTAATAATGAATGCTTAACAAATTACTGATCACTGATTGGTTGGTTATTTTCAGAGACGACGCCTGTCAAGGTACCCCTCAACCAATCAAAAGTCTCGTTTCAAATTGAAACTCCTCCTAGTTATAATAGCTCACCGTTGTCGTGCCATGTTGGTTTTTGTCAAAATTTGTTTATTTTGCTATTATGGAAAATGTTTCAACAAACAACCAATCATAATGGTTTAATTATTAATTATCATTAGCTACATTTAATTATAACGACCAACCGACCGACCAATCAAAATTAATGATGGTCCTAATTAATTATAACTACCAACCGACCGACCAATCAAAGGCAGCGAATTTGGAGCAGCACGACGAAATGACCTCTACCCTGACACAGTCCATCGATGACGACGAATCGTCATTCTTCTACGACTCTTGTTGTCTGGTCGCCAGAAGTAACTCACCCACACTTGATGGTTTTGTAGTCATTGATGATATCCGTGAGTATGATGATGATGATGATGATGATGATGATGATGATGATGATGGAGGCGTGAGTATGATGATGATGATAATGGAGGCTGTGGTTGAAATATTAATAATAATTAATTATATTAATAATTATAGTGGTAATAATAATAATGATAATTAATAATAATATTGATGATGATGATGATGAGGAGGAGGAGGAGGATGATGATTAGGATTATAAAATGATGACGACGAATTTATAGGTATGTTAGATTAAATGATTCATTCTTTATTCATATTTACAGCTTCTGCCAGCTCAAAGTCAGTTAACTTGTTTACAGAGTTTACTACTTCACCTCATTTCGTCTTTCACCTATCATCATTCTTCACCACCATCATCATTCATCACCACCATCACCTTCATCATCGCCATCTTCATCATTTTGTTATTTTATTATCTCGTTTCGTTTTATCGTTTTGAGAAGGAAAAAAATTTCAATTTCGCTATTTTTCAATAATCTCGGTTACCTTTTAAAACGATTCAAAATGCAAATATACCATTCCTAACCATAAAAAAATTAAAAATTTAGTCTGGAGAGAGCGAAAAAAACGAAATCATCATCGTCGATCCAGCCGTTGCCACCGTCGTTGCCGTCGTCGTCGTCACCGCTCTCGCCACAGGCGATAGTACCATCGTCGTCGTTGTCGTCGCTGCTGACGACGAAATTTAAGACGCCGTCTTCCACCCAGCTGCACATACCTGAAGATTTCGTCAAGGTCGTCATCATCATTTCCTTGATCTTCATTTTTTCCATGTTATTCATATATATCTGTTGTCCTTCTTTAATAATTTGTAGCTGCATTGTCATTCTTGTCCAATAATAATCCTTTTACTGCTGTTAAGTGTACATATGATTGGTATATCAAATGATTGAATTTGATTGGTTACAGCCAGCCAATGAACATACGGCCTGGGGAGATGAAGGGGTAATAGGATTGCATGGTTTATACGTTGGCTCCTCCCCTACTGGGCTGTCATGGCGAAGGAAGAGTTTGAGTAGCAGCCCGCCTGTTTTCTGCAGAGGTTGTTTTTATGTATCATTGTGTTTATTTTTTTATTTATTAATTAATTGAATTAAAAAATTAACTAATTCGAGAAATTAATTGTTATTTTTATTGTTACTCAGGAATCTTTCCATCCTTGTTGCCATCGTCGGAGTGTGCGAAACACCACCACCTGGCGAACCTCTACTCCAGGACCTGCCCCAACATGGCGGCCATGATAGATGATGAAGAGGAAGAAGAGGACGATGATGAAATTGATGTCTATGGTAGTGGTCAAAATACGACCACAACAACAACGGCGTCAGCTGATATCTCAAAAACAGCTTCAAACCTGTCAGAAGTAACTCATTTGAATGCGTCGCATTCGACACCGGCGCTAGCCACGGACGAAGCCACACTGACGACAACGACGGCATCATCAGAGGTAGGTGCTGCTACCTCAACGACTTTCTACATTATCAACACTGCGACATCCTCGTCAACATTTACGTCATCTCTGACGTCATCGTCGTCACCGGTGGCGACGTGCGTGACGCCAATGACGACACCAACTAAACGTCCGAAGTCTAAGGAGCCGTTGAATCAGACGCCCTGTATTCAAACTGCTACGTCATTTCAAATGGATCACGCTATTAACTTCAGTCCACCTGAGTTGTCTGAAGAAATATTGCTCGACGTTCGTTATCTTTGTTGTTTAGTTTTTTGCTTTTTCATTTTGTTGGTTGGCTGTCTTTTTCTTTCATTTTGAGATATTTCAACTTTGAGACTGATTGGATGCTTGTCTTATAGACGTTTTCAGATTATGATGCTAGTTAATCGTTTATTGGTGGATATTTTTATCAATGAATCTTATTGGTTAATGAGAGAGTTAAATATTTTTGGTTGGCTGACTGTCAAGTGTAAGACTAAAATATTTATAAGAAATATTTTTTTCAAATTTCAGAAGCACCACAACGACATCGTCTCCAAACTAGACTTCATCTTGGCACTAGTTGAATGTGTGATGGACATTTCGAAATCACACGGTCACCCGATGCTCGCCTCTCATTCGTCCTCGCTTTTGTTCGTTGACCCGCCTCCGAGAATTTTCTCAACCAATGAATTTAATCACCCATTAGAGGTGCAAGTACAGATGGAGCAGTTGAGTTTACACCTGAAATGTTTGCAGCTGCTCTCAACCTCGTTGGATATGGCTGAAGAGGAGATAAACGTTGGCAAACTTAAACCAACCAATAACGTTCAGAACTGTAAGTTACTAATCTATGATAGGCTGTTTCTGATTAAATAAATGGATTATTTCAGGTTTTTAATTATAATTATGATTGCATAATTATAATTCCACTGAGTTTGCATAAATCCACTGAATTTGCTTTTTTTTGTCTCGTGTATTAGCATACCAAATTTTTTTGATAAGTTGCTGAAACATCCTACTTCAAATCAGGTATACAGGACATGGTGAAGCTGTATAAATTGAGTTTAGATAGATGTCAATCCATTCTGAACCATAGAAACATTCGCAGCCGTTCAGAAACTCTCAATGTTTCAATGAACTGCGCCGATAAACTTCTCTACAAATATGCCGTTGTCTCGGTTGGTTGTTTGAAATACTTTTTTAAAGTTTATTTTTAATTGATAATAAAATTTTTTTAGATGTAAAAATCAATTTTACAGTTTTTTTTCTTTATGTTTAAATTTGATCGATAACAATAGTGCCAGATTGGTTCCAAAGAAGAAATACTAGGCAACCCATCTGTGGTTAGCTGTATGTTTTTATGGTTGAAAAAGGTTGTAGTATCTCCTCTTTTTCCCTTAATTCTAACTCCACTTGGAACTTTTTAATATGACATTTAATATGATAGAATTAATTTTTTCATCCTTTTAATAAGTGAATAATTTATAAATTTTTCTCCTTCCGATGATTCAGTCCATCCTGCACTATCACAATGCCCTGGTCATATTCCATAGTCTCATGCAGATTGTCAGTCGCGATGCCGATCGGCTTATTCTTAACAAATGTCCGGTTTTTTGGAGGAATTTTTATTTAATTTTTTTGTAGTTTCTGAAAAAAAAAATGATGTTATTATTTCGATTTTTATTTTATGTTAAATAAAATTAATCAACTAATTTAGATAAAGTCGGAATTGAGAAGAGGCTGTCAGAGTTTGGGATGATAAAGAGTGTTTTCAGATGATGAGAAGCAGACGAACAAAAAACAAATGACGTCATGCATTGATTGATTCATTGTTACCAAAAAAAAACATTATTACTAAATATCGTTACTCACTATACTACCAAAATGTCATTACTACTAGCCGTATAGATATTATTACTGTTTATGACTTATTCAATTCACCATTTTAATTTACCATCTTCAGTTGATGTTTGATGACGATAGCTAATTTTATTGTTTTATTTTTAGATTATGACCGAAATCATAAATATTTATTCAAACTTCTTTCATATCTGCGTTACTATGTTTCAATTTGTTTCTTCTTTGTAATTATATGTACATAAATGGGTTTTAATGGTATGTATTTATGTCAGGATGTTTTTTTTTCTATGTCAATGATTGGTGTTTCATGGCTGTATTGTATATATGTAAAGCAATTTTTATTAACTGTAGATTTTTAAATTTGAATGAATGTTGTATCTCTATATCATTTTATTTGATAACTTCTAAGCGGGGTTCGTTTAAACAGGTATTTGTGTAATCGGTAAGAAAATGTATCTGTATATTTTGGTGTATGATATGATATAAATGTCAAATGATATATTAATGATATATATGTGAAATGATATGTTAAATCTTGGTGATCTCTTTTTTGTAGTCCTAGATTTATTCCGCATAAACGCTACTATTAAAAGTTTCTGATTTAAACATTTTCAAGTTGTAATTATCATTGGAGGCATTGTTTAATTGTGTGGTCCGTTCACACTATCAAATTATTTTGCAGGGTTGTTATCAGTAGAACGGCTTTGTTTTTCCATACTTTATAGTTCGTTGTTTTTGTTTCCAAGGTGCTTTCTAAATTCATCATAGAGAAAATAAAGATGAGAACTGCTCCTAAAGTTTCGAATACATGTTTTATACCGAAAAAAGTAAAATTTACTGATCGGTGAAGTTAATCCGTGAATAGTCTTATTCTACTTTGATCTTAATAACTAATTAAATGGATCAGTACAAGATCCTGGGCAGGATTGGTGAAGGTGCCCACGGAGTTGTTTTCAAGGCGAAACACGTCGAAAGTGGAGATTTGGTGGCTTTGAAGAAAGTGCCGTTGAAAAAAATCGAAGAAGGAATTCCGAATACCGCTCTGAGAGAAATCAAAGCTCTCCAAGAAATTGACGAGCATGAGAATGTCGTCAAATTGCGTGAAGTTCTGCCCCAGGGAATGGGTTTCGTACTTGTTTTTGAGTACATGCTCTCAGATCTGTCAGAAGTCATCAAAAATTACGAACAACCTTTGACTGAAGCTCAGATAAAGAGCTACATGGTTATGTTGTTGAAAGGGGTGGCATTCTGTCATCAGAACAATATAATGCACAGAGATTTGAAACCAGCTAATCTTCTAATTAGCTCGTCTGGGCTTCTTAAGATAGCAGATTTTGGGTTGGCTAGGGTTTTCCAAAACCATGCAGACAGATTGTATAGCCACCAGGTGGCCACCAGGTGGTACAGATCACCAGAGTTACTGTTTGGTGCTCGTAAATATCGAGAAGGTGTTGATTTGTGGGCTGTTGGGTGCATCTTTGGTGAAATGATCAATTGTTCCCCACTGTTTCCAGGGGAAACTGATATTGAACAAATCTGTTGTGTTCTACGAATTCTAGGAACACCCAATGAAAATTCTTGGCCCGAGAAATCTGATCTTCCTGATTACAATAAAATATCATTTCCAGATTATCCTGCTGTCCCATTTGAGAATGTTCTACCTGATGCTTCTACTGATGCCCTCGGTCTCTTACAAAAGTATGATTTTTAGTTAGTCTTTTAATGAAATATAAGACTCAACATTTTTGTTTGAAAAATGTAAATTATGCATATTAATTTCAAACTTCAAAACAGATTTCTCGTGTATTCATCATCAAAGCGCATAGCAGCTAAGGAGGCACTGTTACATCCCTATTTCTTCACACATCCCTTGCCATCACATCACTCTGAACTTCCCATCCCGACCAAACGACGAAACATTTCTCAAATTAATGAATATGATGTTGACGCACCTCTTGATAACGTTCTCGTTAATCCTGCACTTTTATGTTAAACATAACTATGACATTTGTTTTTTTTTGTTGGTTGTGTCTATCTGTCTGTCTGTCTGTCTATGTGTCTATGTAAAAAACCTTTTAATACGTAAAAAGCCTTTGAATATGTAACAACTTCACAAATTTATTTGTTTTGTACCTATGGGAAAAAAATTGTCGTATTTGTAATGTTTCTTTTGGGTATTGTTGCAATAAAACCCATTTTTTATATGTTTTAAAAAAATTTAAAGTTTCTTAGCACACACACAAACTAATTTACGAATATAATATAGATGTATAAACATGTTTTTGTGTGTATGTGTGAGTAAGTGAGTGTGTGCACTTGTATGTTTGCGTTCGTGTGGATATCTATCTATGTATATGTGCGTGTTTGTGTGTGAATTTAAAATAATAATAGCATGCATTGTAAGGCATTCTTAAGCTTGGCGCAGTTGAATTAGTGCTTTGCATATATATATATATATATATATATATATATATATATATAATGCTTATTATACGGTATTATATGAACTCTACCGAATTGTTGGCATTACGATATATATATATATATATATATATATATATATATATATATATATATATATATATATATATCATTTGTATTTTTGTTTAACATTCGCGTCAGTTAATTTAACTCAAACAATAATAAGATTATTACATTGTTCAGATTAAAACATACGACAAGACATACACGTCTAGGTAAAATGATTCGTCATTGAAATTTAAACACAGTGGTTAAGGTTTCATTAAGTTGTTGATTGTTACCGCTTCTAAATAATTAACTAGTTAGTATTTTGTGGTTCGTAGAGTAAAGTATTGGCAAGTAGTCACTAAACTAAGTATTGACCGTTCGGAAAACTTTTCGTTCGTCTTTATTTATTCGTAAAGAAATGTCAGAAGCTAGATCCGCTAGTTCACGTTCAATTCCTGCTACCTACGTTAGTAATTGCTTACTGTTTTATAACTTATAATTTTTTACCAATATAATTAACTTTATCAACTTGTTGAATCATACATGCAAAAAGTTTTTTTTAATATTACAAAATCATACTGTGTACTGTACATGTGAATAAGTAATACCAGTATTATATTTTAGTTTTTACAAATCTACCAAAAAATTTTTTATAAATTGAGAGTACATGTGGTTTGGCTGAAAAATGAGAATCAGTAATAAAAAAAAACTGCTGTATAATCTGTTGCCTTTGCCTGTTAACATGCCTTAGTGATAACTAAATAAATTATACAGACATCAATATCACTTGGGAATTTTATTTTAGCATACTTGGAATACCATTTTAACAATGCATTTTTGTGCCAAAGGGTTAACGTCAATTTTTCCGCGAGAGATTGTTTCAAAAAACAATAGTAGTTATAGTAGTTCCAATCACAATGACATGGTCAGTTGAAGTATAATGTATACTGTGATTAGATTTTATATATTTTATGTAAAAATTTTCGTACTAAAAATAATTCATATACGATTTAAAAACATTACTAAGTTTATCGACCATGAAACTGTTAACTTGCAACCTTCACAAGTATAATATACTCTCTGAGAAACACTGTGTTAAATAATAACCATTCTTTATTCATTTTTTTGTAGGAATCCGAGGACAATGCAGAGTCAACTTTCCGACATAAATTAGGACTGATACCGGTTAGCTATTTTGTTGTTGCGTTGAATGTTTGTTTGTGGCACGTTCTTGATGAATTTGTAGTTTTAGTTGTTGGTGCGCCACTTTTTAGATCGTGATTTTCGTTACTTATGATGTAATACTGCTAAACTGCCTTTTTTCGTTGTCGTTTTTCGCTTTGGGGATGCTGTATAAGTGGATGAGTAAAAATAATTTAGTTGCTACGTAAGCTCTCTTCATGGTTTCAGTTGAAGTATGTTTGCATTGCATAGAATTTTTTTTGTAAGTTTACAGACATAAAGATTTTTTTATCTTTTCTTTCACCATAATTTTGACACGTTATAAAAAATATGTAGGCCTATATGCAACAAAATGATCGACAAGATGACAGCAAATTTACTCTACTATTCATGCTACAAAATTATTAAAGTTGTCGCAACGATTGACAACAATATAGATTTGACGATTAATTTAAATTTTCTTTTACAAACAATTTTAAAAAAGGAGGAAGAGGAAGACCTGACAGAAGCCTTCAAAGCCAGACTGGGAATCAACAAGACAGATCCACTGATGAACAACGATGATAACGAAATCAACGAAATCGTTGTTATGAATGATGTTGAAAAGGAAGCTACCTTATCTAAATTTAAATTTGAAAAATTCATCCAAGAAAATTTTAAAAAAGGAAATAGTATAGCACCTACAAACCACAACAACACCAACACGCCTGCAGTTACTACTCTTTCTAACCAGCCGCTGACCGAATCTCTATTGAAATCATGCGAAGCGCAAAATTTAAGTCAAGTAAGCGAGTCTTTTTACACCAGTAAATCATAAATGAAGGTCAAAATCCATCTTTGAAATAATTTATGTTAATTTTATGTTAATTTTTTTCAAATTTCTTCGATTGGCAGAGTGCAGTCGTCATTTCGAACGCTATTAAATTATTTTGTAAGGACATCAAACCATTTCAGAAGACGCCGGCCATTGTAAACGTTAGTTAGGCAGTTCGTATATAACACTTTACTAATTAATTTACTAATTAATTGAATGCAAAAAGTAATTTACTCGTTAATTTTATTAAATATAAGCTCTTCTTGTAATTTTGATTTTGTTGTTGATTTTAATTTTGGCAGAAAACTCCTAACGTGTTATCAAGGGTGTTTAATAATCTGGAGTCTTTCAAAAACGACAAGAAAGTAAAAAATACTATTGTTACTTTTATACTAACACTCTATTGATGCTACTACTACTAATATAATATGTAAAATGAAGTAAAAATTGCTACTACTTTGCTAGTATTTCCACAATACTATGTTTATTATTTCATTCATTCACTCATTCATTCATTTATCCATTCATTCAATCATTCAGGAACCCCAGACAAAAGAAGCCAAACCTGGAGTTAAAAGATTTTCCATGATAAAATTATTTCAAAATAAGAACAAATCCTCTTCCACCTCCTCGTCCGATGAATGGTCAAACAATTTGGAATGGCAACTTAACACAATTCCAGACGATGACTTTGAAATTATGCAGTTCATAATATGCTACGGGATTTTGAATAGGGTTTTGAGGTCAGTAGGGGTCTATCTCTTGATCGGGGCTGAATTTAAGGCAGGACGGACCGCGGCGTGGACTTAATCATTTTTATTTTGATGATGATATATGATGATATAAAAAGTGATACAACACGGAAAATGGCTATCTCTGTATCATTTATTTTGTATCTTCCCAGCCGTTCGTTTTTTTTTTGAATGACGAGTTTCGGAAGATATAAAATAAAATATAGATAACCCATAGTTCGCAAATTTGCAATGTTGAAATTTGTGTTAACTAGTTTTATAGTAATTGACTTTTGACCTTTCAACCTTTACTACTGAATTTAGGGACGAGATATACTGCCAGTTGTGCCAGCAGGTGTCTAAGAACAATCGCTCAGAGGAGAGCGTAAGTAGTGGATGGACGCTACATACTCTATGTTCCGGGTGTTTTATGCCTTCTAAAAAAGTTCGTTGTAGCGAATTTTTGCCTTGGTTGCTTAACTGTTGCTAAATAATATTAAAACTGAATAGTTTTAATAATCTTTATGGAGGTTTGTTGAGTGGGAAGAATAAGAAAGATAGATGAAAATTTGAATATAAAATCAAAAAATCTCTCAATACATTACTATTTCTCCAACTAATTGCAATCTCATTGAACTGAAAGTGATTTCACAAAATCAACCATAAAAGCTTGTAAGTTGCTATCCATAAACAACACAAGCAACACAACAACACATCAACAACAACACATCAACAACAACACATCAACAACAACACATCAACAACAACACAGCCACAAAAACAACACAGCTTCTCAGGTACTACATATCCTTCCTCAACAACTTCACGAACGACACCAAATGGAAGGACGTATCCCTGCAGACAAAAACATTGCTACACAGAACCAACATGTATGGATCAAGATATCATCCACCTAATTCCGTTGAATACCAAGTTAGTGAAGATGGCGACTGAGGAATAATTTATAATAACTTCAATTTATTTATTTATCAAATTTATTTATTTATTCATTTCTTTATGCCATAATTTCTACATAAAGCGCATTAAAAGTCTTTTTCGCACTGAAAAACTTAATCCGGCAGTTTTTAAATAAAATTCGTTAACGCGTTTGTATAGTCTGTTAAGAGTCGTAAAAGCATAATGTTGCCGGTCAGCTTGGTCGATGGAATGACGCTGTCCATCAAATCTGATTCGGCCATGACGGCTTCTGAGATGTGCCACAAAATCTCATTGGCTATCAACTTAAAGGATCAGTTTGGATTCGCTGTCTACATTTCGGTCGAAGGAAAGGTTAGTCTACGTATTTTTTCTTCATGATTCTCTCATAAGTATTTCTCAGAAGTATCAATAACGAGCACACGGTCGGAATCTATTTGCAGTCGAATCCAGTCACTAGAACATCAGTGTCAGACATCCTAATCATTACACCATCGCGCTTGCTGTGTATTTGAAAAAAATCAACCTAAACAAACTCAAGAGAATGTGTATGACGATAATGAAATAGAAAGAAATAACAAGAGCAATTAAGTCAAACACAAAATTAACTTAAATTTTCATGAAAATTTTCTAACCCTTATTCAGGTCTCGTCACTAGGCAATGGTCTAGATCACGTCATGGATGCTATCAGCGAATGCGAACAGTCGTTGAGAATTGAAAATAAGAAAGACCAAACATTGAAATCGGGATGGCACCTCTTTTTCGGGAAAGAACTTTTCACGCCCTGGCACGACGCTGAGGTTGATGAAAAATCAACTGAGATCATTTATCTGCAGATCATTAGATCAGCTATGAATGGAGAGTTTAGGTTTAAGTCGGTCAGTTTCGTATCGAATCACTTTGGTGTAGATTCAATTTCGTATTAAATTGGTTTTGTATTGAATCATGTATACGCACTTTAAACTAATTTTCGTTGCCTGAATGACAGGATGAAGATTTATCTAGATTCGTGGCACGAAGATGGTACATCGAAAACGGACGAGAAATGAATGAGAAACTGTTGAAATCAAAACTGAACGACTACCTACCTAAATATATCATTAAAAATCTTCCAAACAATGAAAATAATTGGATCCAATTGATAATTCAATCTTTCACAAAGCTGGGATTTAACGAGGAGAAAATCCCAAGAATACAAGTTGAATTTTAAACCGAATTTACTCTTAAAATTGTTTACTAGTAAAAAATAAATGTCTAAAACTAAATACAATAATGGTAATAACTTGACAAAACCCAGATCAAATGGTCAATTGTGGAAGGGGCACAACGAAAATGGCCCCTCCAGTTCGCGGCCCTGTTTGAGGCCGTGAAGGTAGCTGGACCGCCCGTACCGAACAACGAGTTAGTGATAGCGATCAGTTGTAGGGGGGTCTTTATGCTTGAGGAACCTTACAAGTTGATAAATGGCGTTCATTATTACGAGATCATTGAAGTTACTTGTGAAAAGTTGGTCCGACTACAACATTTATTTTAATGAGAATTACTTTTCCTGAAAAATTTTTATAATTTTCACGTAAATGTTAATCTAATCCGATTATAATTAACAAAGTCATTTAAACTATTCAACAGCAGCAACATTCAAACATTGCCATAACATCTAACAAGTACACCTAACATAGCCTATGTCACCCACAAACAGACCGACAAAAGATAGGGGTCCATGTTTCAACATAATGACCATCAAAGGCGACAACTGGTCATTCGTGAGTCCAAACGCCGAGACGATAACGAAGCTGTTGTGCATATTCATTGACGGATTAAGGAAAAGGTCGAGATGGGCAGTGGCTATCCAGGAATTTATTTTGCAAGGTGGGTGGGTGTTCATTTGTGTTCGGCTGCGTGTGTAGTCGTACGGAAAATTGATTTGTGAAAAACTTTTCATTTTATTGCATGTAGTTTATCGTATGGTTTCTGTTCCAACATAAATTTAAACGCATTAATACCTCAAATTATCTAACCGACAGATCATTCACAAAGTTTGTTGGATAGTTTCCACCTGGTGCAAGGAGATGTTGTAGAGTTGATGGATGAAAGCGAGCAGAAGCACCTGAAAGATGATTGGATGTACGGGAAATGTGAACGAACAAACAGATGTGGATCATTCCCGTTCGACTGCATCTATATCTTTCCTACCTCCGAAAAACCACCTAAAGCATTTCTGGTTAAATTTACTACTAATTCTCCCTTTATTAATTTTTAAAGGTATCCCAACTGATTTGTACACACATTAAGACTAGATCTCTTAACCATTACGCCATTTCGCCGCCAAAATTAATTTTGATTAAAATAAGTTTTTCCGCCGACAATGAAAATGATGCAATCAATACTCTAACAAAAGCCATTTTTCAATTTACAGGATATATTCTCCATAATGAGCAAAAAAGATGCCAGCACGCTTCCAAGGAAGAGGGCAACAGTCGTTTTAGGCAGGGATACACTTAGTAAAAGCAAAGGTTTCGGGGTTGCTTCACTCATTTGAGAAAAAAAAAATATTTTTAGATTTGTAAAAAATTCAATTTACTTTTTAACCATGACACTAAAATGTTCTTAATAAAGTTCTTAACATCTTCACACATCAAAATAACAAATTTTTACCAATGAAATCAACTGCTGACGTTTTTAGTAGCAGGTATCGGTTAAAATATCTTACATGAGGTGAAAATATAAATGGAAATAGTTGAAATCTTGCAATTTCGTAATTTGGAATTGGTTCGTTCAAATGTGCGGTTGAACGAGTTCGAAAGCACGTAGAGTAAACCGTTGCTTCACACGTTCAACTATTGCGGCACAAACAGTAAATTTAATAACATGCAACGATGTAATGCAACGTGCAGCCAGGCAAACAACAGACATATTATTAAAAAACACAATGCAACCAAACTACATTCAACTTTTTCAATAGTAGTACCTACTGTACAATTCACTTTTTAACTGAATGTTTTTACATGTCCCAGAAATATGGAAACAAATACAACAGGTTGTATTACACATCTGTTACACAGAATGGATTGAATACGACGATGAAATTGGATTGAAAATGAGCAATTTTTCGCTTGCCACATATTTTGCATTTTTCCTAAATAACTCTTTTGTTAATAAATTTTTAAATTATTGACGGAACAAAAATTTTCTTCCGACAATAATTTCTCTAAAAGCGAGGAATAAAACATTCGGCTCCTACCGCGTCAACATTAGCGCTTAAAATAAGTTATATCATCATGAAACAATATTGATTTTGAAAAATTCTCGTCTTCGGAGAACCAGTCCGCAAGAAGGACGAGCATTAATTAATACATGACGTAGGAAAATAAGATGTTTAAATATCTGTGCAATTGCTGAAGTCATTTAAAAAATCGTGGACAGCTGAGTATTTATAAAAAAAATCTTTTATTAAATGCAAACACTTGAAAGATTTGAATATACTGACAAAATTTTACAACAAAAATTCTTAAAATTTGAATGTGTGAACAAATTTCGGTTGGACTTTGCTTCTTTTTTCTTGAGCACTAATCAAGAAATCAGCCCTTGGAATCTCAATTATTTTCTTCTTTGGACTAACGTAATATTCTCTTTTTCCGGGAAAATCAATTTCCGCTGGAACTCTGTGTTTAGAAAGTTTTTTGGCCTTCTTCCGTTTTTGTTCCTCTTCTTTTTCTATTCTTTTTTTCCTTTCAACGAAACACCAGGCAAAAAGAAAACAGCCAACCAAAATAATTGCAACCACAGCAAGCATTTTATAATGATTCCTCACAAACACCTCAACCTTTGATTTCATTGGTGTGCACTGCCTGACGGAATAACAACCTGTTGTATTTGTTTCCATATTTCTGGGACATGTAAAACATTCAGTCATCATATCAAATGGTTGGAAGCTGTTGAGAGGACAGTCAGAACAATTCAGTGTGATATTGTTGTAATATCTTCCAGAGAGGCATGGTATACACAAGACGCCATTAACCAACTCAAATCTATTTGGACATTCATTGGCAAAACTGGTCGTCATAGGATCATCTGTCAAGGTGAATTCTTTTACTCTATCATACTCGTCAACAACATCAGGATACCTTTTGGGGTCTTCCTCAATTTCTCTCCACCTTCTAGCACTAGCAATAGATGCATTCAGTAATCTGTTTGATGTGTTTGTAAAGTAGCATTCCAAAGTTGAGCAAGTGGTTTTAAAATCTTTCAATCTATCTTCACAAGAAATGACATACAAAGCCTGAGAATAAGCTCTCTTGTTTGTGAAAAAACAGGTTCTTCTGGATACAGTGTACAGTAACCCATGGTGAAGTGAAATCTCATTGTGCTCAATCAAATTCTCCCAATATAACTGCTTCTCTCTCAGCAGTGGTTCAGAACACAAAGCAGTGTCATACTGAAAAGTAAACTCTAATCTGACATGTGGTACATCGTATGTGATAATGTAGTGTTCTATTTTCTGCTTGTAGTTTATTAGACAGAATATTCTTCGAGAATCCTCTGGCTGAACATGAGATAGAAACAGTGAATATGTCTCATTCTTTAAAAGACGTTTGTCACCAATAATCTGTCAATAAAACCGAAAATAAAGTTAAATTTAGATTTTAGCAATGTTTTAAGTAGAATTTAAAAAACTTACTTATTATAAAATAAAAGCTCTCTTCTAAACTAAACTAAAGCTAAACTAAAGCTAAACAGTAAGAAAATAATGTTAGCCATAAAACTGAGCTGATAATTAACATAATTTAAATTACCGGCTGTCCTTCAGAATCGATCCACGTGACGTTGTTGTCGGCCAAACCGGTGTACACCTGCACGGAAACGTTTTCATTGACGCACGGAATCTGGACACTGTGAGATATCAATATGAAGTGGGGATCTTTGACATGAAGCGACAACTTATTTAAATCTTTCACTGTTTTCGAATCAAGTTCTATCCAACCAAACGCCAAATACAAAAGTATGAAAAATATTAAATTTATTATTATTTTCATTTTTAAATAAGAACAGACGCGACATCAGTCAGAAGAACTGGTTTAAAAGTAGTACAGTTACAAACGGAAATGTGCACACTGGAAGACGGTTGCGCGATTTTTTTCAGCGACGGCCTGGAGATGCGATCTATAGCCTGCCACGAGACATTATCTTAGTTTCAATGTCATGGTATTCTAAGTATACGCATTCAACCATATAAGTATTACCCATCAAGCCCAGATCGTTTATTTATTAATAAATAGTTTTCAACAACTAAATGTGAGCAAAATATTGAGTAAATAATTAAATAAATAAATATATACGTGCATGTGTATAATGGAATATAATATACTACAATGTATCTGGATATATATATATATATATATATATATATATATATATATATGTTAATCTTCGAAGCTCGTATCACTACCAGCATTATCTTCCATAAATTTTTCATCCTCGTTCGATGATTCTGAAACATTTCGTGAAGTGTTAACGAGGTATTGCCTGTAAATGTCTCCGTCAGCCATCTCGTCAAGTTCATTAACACTCAGAGATTCCACCATGAATGGAACGTCCTTCCACTTTTTGTAGTGTTTTTGGGTGGGCGGGTTCTCACATTTCACCACGAAACTTATTATCTAGAAATATTTTATGTGCGTCAAATTACTAATTATTATTATTAATTATTATTATTATATCATGTGCGTTAAATTAAAAATTAAAACTAGTCATGAAGGAAAAAGAAAAGCCGTGACCACAAACCTTAATAACCGGAAAGGACACACCGTTGTAGCTAGCCATGATTCCCCAATCGCTGTTACATTCCTTGCAGTAAATTTTTCCACTTCTTTCAAAAGTTGGTGAGATATTTTCAGTTTGTGGGTATGGTTTTATAATAACACGGTCCTTCATGCTTGGGTCTATGACTACGTGATGCGAGTTCTCAATCTTTCTCACCTTATCGGACAAGGAACCAAGTGAATCACATTTAGAACAGCGAATTTCGTACAAATTTTGATGCAATTTAATTTTCTTCAACTCCTCTGATATCTTCTTGCCATAGGCTGCCATTCTCCTTTCAGTCTGAAAAAAAAATTCAACTTGTTACTTCCCAACACATAAACCTCCACACGTTACTTCTTTAACTGAAAGTAAATTTGAAATCTCAGGACTAAAAATAAAATCTGCAAACGATATAATTATTATCATCAATTCGAAAAGAACTTAAAAAACGTATTGAAAACTAGCTTTTGCTCTATGTTGCATGGTCTTAATACACCTCCGCCTCTCTTCAAAATTCATTTCTTGGATTCGTTTGATCGCAACAGTCATCATTCTCTCTCTGATCTCGTTAATTTTTTCTTTCATGGCGATGCCACGACCGCGTTCGGCTATCAAGCAACTGGCTGCATTCTCTGCTCTAGCCCTGCCTGTGTTGGTTAAATTATGTGTCGTCGTTGCCGTTGCAGTGTTATCATATTCAATGTGTATGTATGTACTGATTCACGTGTATTTGTTCGTTGCTAACCTATCTGAGATATACTTTGAAAAAGAGAATTGTATAAAAGTGTTTAACATGTTAGAACTATAAAATAATATACAGTTCAAATTATTCAGGCTGAACGTTTTGATAAATATCACCTCAAATTTGAAACTGACCAGTCAACAAAACATGTATGTAGTTGATTGAGTTCAAAAGGACAAAGATTTGGCGGAGATATCATTAATCGATGGCGCGTATGAAACATAGACGACTTAATACTTGAAACTTACAAGCTTGAAAACAAACATTTTGTAAAAAGTATTGCGATAAACTGGCACATTGACAAGATAGGAAGCAATAAATGAAGTTTTCAATAGAATAGTAGCCGACCTCTGCACTGGACCCTGGCGATGCTGTTGGTCACATGTTCATACCTGAGTACCAAGTTGCACTTCTGTACGTCCAGCCCTTCCTCTGCCACGGTAGTCGCGATGATCAGTTTGTGTTTGCCGTTCTTGAAATATTTGAGAACATCTTCCTGCTGGGCACTCGTCTGACCTTCAACGGAAGAGGAATAAAAAAAATTATTATTTGTGGTGTTTAAAGTATAGACGGTGATACATTTTTTACTCTTTCATGAAATGGATGAATTAAAAATCGCTTTTAAAGTGTCTTACCAACTATTTTCTTAAATTAGTGACTGCTAAACTATTCACCATTTCAAACAATCGATCAATAACTCATCATTTTTAACGTTTAAAATTTTTTAAAAAATCAATAATAAAATTAAACACCCAACCGGCTTTATAAGCAGGAGCGTTAGTGCCAACAAGATTCGTTGCATTGAGTGACTTCAATTCTTCAGTTTCGTTCATCCAATTTTTCAGAGCCACGGTCATGTCTCTAGTCTTGCAGAACATTATACACCTGGAATCCTCGTTTTGCTTGTATTGCTTGATCAATTTGGATTTTATTAACTCTAATTTTGGATTGTCATAGAAATCGTTCTGACTGATTTTCTCCATTTTTGGGTATATGCCTTGTTAGGATTGTGCAGTTGGGGTAGGTGGTTTTAAATTTTGTTGTGAATTTAAATAATTTAATTAAATTGTGAATTTAAATAATATAAATGAAAATAAAATGTGAAAATTTATTATCCGATTTATAACTAAATAGGACTGATAGCTAGGTAGGGTTACAGACGTACTTTGCCAATTATTCATCAGTGAGATTGTGGTCTGGTTGTTTGAATTGCCGGTGGGAGTGTCTTCAAATTCTCCAACTTTCGTCCGGATGAAGTTGACGGCGTCTTTAGTTCGGCAGTCGGCATTTATCATCAGGGCGTTGTTGTAGATCTGACAGTCGTTCGTTTGAAAGTTTTTAAAATATTATTCTCGTTTGAAACAATTAAACAAATCCGTAGAATAATATTCGAAGATGTTGTTAGGAAAATTGATAAGATGCTCCGTAATAATAATTATGACGAAGATAAATTTTAAAACAAATAAATGAACGAACGAAAGAATGAACAAACGAACGAATGAATAAATGAGTGAATGATTTAACAAATAAATAAACGAACGAATGAGCGAATGAATGAATGAATGAATGAATGAAAAAAATTCTTACGTGGAGGAACTGATAGCATGATACAAAATATTGCCTCGTCCTCTGGTCGTATGTAGCACAAATGCCATTGAACAATCTGCTCAGCCATTGGGTGTACGGGTCACAACCTTTTAATCATCATTATCATCATCATCGTTATCATCATCAATATCATTGATATCCTCATCATCATCGTCGTTATCATTATCAAATTATCAGCATCATCGTTATCATCATCATCGTCACCACCATCACCATAATCATCGTTATCATTATCACATCATCAGCATTATCATTATCACATCATCATCGTCATCATCATCATCATTATCATCGTTATCATTATCTCATCAGCAGCAGCAGCAGCATCATCATCAACGTCGTCGTCATCATCACATCATCATCATCGTAGTTGCTGTTTTATTCATTGCAATGTAACACTACTAACTAACACTACCTCTACTCATATTACTACTACTACAGCTACAGCTGCTACTACTACTACTGCTACTACTACAGCTGCTACTACTACTGCTGCTACTTCTACTGCTGCTACTTCTACTGCTGCTACTTCTACTTCTGCTACTTCTATTGCTGCTACTACTACTACTGCTGCTGCTACTACTGCTGCTACTACTATTCCTACTATCGTCATCATAATTGTTATCAATATTATACTCCGACTAATTCTACTACTACTTATCATAATTGTTATCATAAATTTAGTATACGATATCATTTTATTATCTATAGTACATATTTATCGAACCTCTGTCGGAGGGCGGTTTGAATTCCCTAGCCAGGTTATCATCGAACTTCAAGTGTAGGTCTGAAAAATCGAGATAACAATAGCAACATTCAAATAACATCATCGTCATCTCCATCATCATCATAATCATCATCTCCATCATCATCATCACCATCATCTCCATCCTCATCATCTCTATCATCATCATCATCATCATCATCTCCATCATCATCATCATCGACATCATCATCTCCCTCGACATCATCATCATTACCTTTAGGTGGCATCTGAATCATCATTTCAATGTTCGACATGACTTCATTGATCATATTACCAAATGGGTCGTATTTTCGTCCAGAGCACTCCTCCGTCTCTGTTTTAAGACGATATGAATAATTGAGGCGAATTAGCTCAGAAGGTAAGAGCGCAGTCTCTTGCGGTATTCGTTGCGCGTTGACTGGATTCAAATGCCATCGCAGCGAAATCCAAAATCAGGTGGCGTATGATGCGAGACTTGCGCCATACTTGCAAACATTTAAATATATATGAATGAAACTGCCTTTTTGGCAAAAGTTGCAAGAAAGAATTCCAACTTACTCTGCCTTACCCTGAGAAACCTGATAAATATCGAAAGAACAACAACAGCAACAAAACGGACCTTCGACAGGCTTGTTAGTAGCTTTGGAGAGTTCCTGGACATTCTTCGTAACGGTGGTGATGTAATACGTGTTGAGGTTGGCACACACACCAAGTATGTAATCCATAGCTTGTATCGAGTCTTTCGCTTTTCCAACCCCTATTGAAGCAGTCAAACCTACAATCTGTATTTGATGATGATGATAATAATAATAATTATTATAAATAATAATAATAATAATTATTATTATTATTTCATTTGGATTCCGCGATAGTGTAATGGTTAAGGTACCTAGCGCTTGGTATGACGCTATATAAATGACATTATTATTATTATTATTGTCATATTCATTCTACCTCTAAAAAGATTTTTAAAAACTTAGGCTTAATACATCGACTAAGACTTAAATTTCCAGACGATATTTTACAGACATTGTATAACTCAATTGTATTGCCTTATTTAACATATTGCCCTCCTATTTGTGGTTTTTCCACTGAATCATATCTCCATCTATTAATATTATTACTACTACTATTGTTAAAGTTATCATTATTATTAAAATTTAAGATTTTTTCAGCGCAATTAAGCTAGCGAACCTGAGGCAGATCGGAATTAGGATCGAGGTCAAGGTGTTCGTGGTACCTGGCCATGATGGCATTGTACGGGTGCTCCTTTTTTGTGTGGTGGCATTCGTCGAATATTAACAGCGACAACTCCAACATGTGCGAACTCTCCTTCCTTAGTAGGTTCTCCAAGATTTGAGGCGTCAGTACGAAGAGAGTCTGCGTTGCGATTGGTTGGTTAGATAGGTGGATAATTTTGATTGGTTGTTTGTAGGGGTTGTAATAGTTATATTATTGACTACAAAAATCAAATTAACGAAGTAAATTAAACCGATTTCAACTGTTAAAATGCAATCAATTTAAAATTTTAAAAAATGAAGTAAACCAAATCTGTCACGAAATTAACAAAATGAATTATTTCAAAGTAAAATATTGCAGCTCAAACAGTAGAGGAGCCATGCGACGCGATGTCGTTGCGTGCAGACCTGGTTCAAATGCTGCCCGTGTGAAATTGAGAGAGCCTGATGCGATGTTTGGGCAAGCATGCGAATGTGTACGTGCGTCGTGTGATATGCGTGTTTGTCTCCGTGCAAGAAGTTCAATTGTTTCAAAGTAAAGATAGATTTGGAAGCTGCAGTGTTTTGTCAGAATTATAAAAAAAAGAGTGAAACGAATAGTAAAATACGAACATGAGTTTCAAGGAGTTCAGTTAGCGAGAGTTCGACATCACCGCTGATGCCGATGACGTCAGCGTGGAGGTACTTCTCAAAGAGCCGCTTCTGCTGCTCTACTAGCGCCACAGTCGGCACCACAAACATCACCTTCTTCTTCTTCCTTCTCGAGCCTCCAACGTCATTCCCTTGTTCTAAGTGATCCTGCGATAATATTGAACTGAAAGTTAAAAACTGAAATATTTTAGCAAATAAAAATCGTTAATACGTAATCAATAAAAAGCTGGAATATGTTAGATAACTGGTGTTCACGCATTTCAAGGAAAATTCATGAATATGTTAATTAACTTGCCTTTATGATGAACATCGCTACGTGGGTTTTTCCCGTCCCAGTCGGAGCGACTATGATGCAGTTTCTCCCTTTTATGGCATCCGAGGCCAGTTCAATTTGGTATCCTCGTAGCTCCAGTCCACACTTTTTTGGGGACGCTTCATCGCAGCCTGGAAGTGGGAGGGATTGATTGGCTTGCATAAATTAACATAAATTTGATTGACAGAAATAAACGAATTGGAAGGAATTTATAGATAGCTTAAAATCCAAAAAAATTAATGAAACGTTAGATTTTGAGTTGAAAAAAGCGCGCTGAAGTAGCTCAATTAATTACTACAATTTCTTGGTTATATTATTCATGGTTGGCAAAGACCAAGTTGAATACATCAATTTCATTAATTATAATAAATTAATTAATTATAATTAATTAATTTTATGTAATCGATGTATTAATGACAAATTATTAAATAACGATAATTATCAAAGTTGATTTAACATTATAATAGTTCATTATCACCATTCCAATGTTCATTTGTTGTACGTAGTGCTATTAATAATTTCTGTGAAATAAAAATATAAGCGCGTAAAAATATAGATGACCATTACTTACCTGAAGGTTTAGCTCCGTACACCATTTCTATCTCGTAGGCTTCTGAATTTGTCGAGAAGATATCTTTTAATTTAACTTTTTATGAGGACGATTTATCTATTTATATAGGAAGATCTTAGGTAATCTATGTTATATATATATACGTATATATATATATATATATATATATATGTGTGTGTGTATATATAAATATATATATATATATGTGTGTATATATGTATATATATATGTATATATATATGTATATATATATATATATGTGTGTGTGTGTGTGTATGTTAATTTGCATATAATTATGTATGTATCGTAAATGTGTATGTATGTATGTGATGTGATGACGATAACAGACAAAGCTAGATTGTGTGTATAATTGATATTCTTCCAATTGAAAAATCCTGGATTAAATGGCGTCATTTCGCTTCAACATCTGTTCATTGCTTTATTATTATTCTCTCTTTTTTTTACTTCGCAAGTTGAGTGGTTTGTTTTCTATTGCATTCCGTAAAAAATGCGTCGCTTTAACTTTAGCATGTAGTTATAGCCAACTTTAACACGTGGTTTTAAATCTAGCACGTGGTTTCATTCAACTTAAGCACGTGGTTTCAACCTAAGCACGTGAATTTATTTCACTATTGTAAAACGCCTCGACATGTTAGCTAAATTAGTAGGAGTGCCATGTCTCTGGCTGATATTACGCGATGGCATGGTTCGAATACTACCTGTCCAAAACTCAAAGACCATCATACGAGTATGATGCGTTTGACTATAAAAAATTAAAAAGAAAAATTCTGGACAAGAGGTGAGCGGGAATTGAAATCTCTTCCCAATTCCATCTGGAATTCCCATTTGTGACAACGTTCCCTGAAATTCTTATTTGCTATTTTCTTAACTTGCTCCCACTTTTTCCCAATTTTTTAAACACAACAAAAAATATTTTCCAAAGAAGCGAAAATTATGAACATATCTTTAGTACAAAACAGAAGAATTCCCAAAAGCTCTAAAATGCACTAAAACAATAATAATAAATAAGAATTTTAGGCATGTTTATGAATATTCATACTATGTGAATTTCTGATATTACCACAAGAGTGTATGTGTGTGTGTTGTGCGTGCGTGTGCGTGTTTGTCGACAACACGCTCCTGTATTTAAAATGAAATTTCATTGGTGCAGTTCGGTAGCTTGTTGTACGTGGTCACCTTCTATATTGGCCCACACATGCATGAGTTTGTGAGTATTCGGAAAATTTATCTCTTTTTTTTTGCCCCAAATCTCGGCGGTTCGAAACGCATTGCGGTTCTCCGCCGGTTTGACTCTCACGAGTACTCGTACAACAACGGCGTACAACAGCGTACAACAACGGCGTACAACAGCGTACAACAACGTACAACAGCGTACGTAGGGGATGCGGCGTGTGTACTGTACGTACATTGCGAGGTGTGGGATGGAAGAACGTACATAGAGAGAACGCCTACCTTTGTAGATGTCCATGAACAGGAGAGCATGTTCGCCGTTATTAAACGTTATCGTAGCCTCGTCGTTATTTATTTTCTCCACATTATTCTGAATAAATATGGCAGATAATGATAATAATGATAATAATTATTATTATTATTATAAAAATTATAATAATAATAACTATAATAATAATAATAATAATAACGATGAATGATAATAATAAGGTTAAGAAAAAAAGTCATACAATCCAAATACAATGAAATTTCATTTTTACCGACAAATTTAAACAAAATCGACATCATTATTGTCGTCATCATCGTCATGAACATCACCTTTACTATATAATCATGGAAAGCTTCAAACTTCCTGAAGACATCCACCTTACTAGCACCAGTCATGTTTTTAATTTTGAGAACATTTGGAATGAGAACAAATTCCTGACTGCAGCTACTGCTGTGGTTGCTGCACCCGCTGCTGATTTTGTTGCTAGATAAACTAGATGTAACGGTTGTTTGTTTTCCAACGCACGAAGAGCAACCATTGTCAGAGCAGGAAAAAGATGGCTGCTGCTGCTGAAGCTGTGGCTGTTGTGTTTCTTGTTCATCGAAATCAGTTTTTAAATCAAGTGTGAGTGTAGGCTCACAAGATGGTAGTTCATCGTTGAGGTTTGAATTACATGACACTGAAATATTTGAACTTTTGCTAGACAGCGAAGATTTAGTATTTTGGTTTTGTTGTTGTATCTGTTGTTGTTGTTGCGGTGGAGATAACAAATTCATTTGTTGTTGTTGCGGCTGTTGTGTTTGTTGTGGTTGCTGCTGATTTGCAGTTACATCATCAGCGTCTTTCGAGGGGAAAAAATTGGATGGTGGTTTATTTTTATTAGGGATGCCTCGGATTTAGGTTTTTCAAGTCCGGCCGGGGCCGGATTTTAGTTACCATTTTACATATGTTAGAAAAAATACTCACATTTACGGTTATCTACATGTTGAACATCAAAAAATAACACCAAGCAAATAGTTAATTAATTCAAATATATGAATAAGCTGTGTACACTGTAATTCTGTACACAAAGATCAGCTTATAATTTATGCATAACCCATGTTATAGCATAAAGAATAGCTCACCTCACAAGTGATGTTGTAATTATGTGTCATGTATGCCTAGCCTAACCTTTAACATAAATTATGCGCTTATGTTTATGCCCTTATGCTTATATATATATATATATATATATATATATATATTATGCAGCCATATGATTCGTAATTTTCAATTATATAGTATATACACGTGCACAATTTCTTTTACACAAAAATCAGCTCATAATTTATGCATAACCCATGTTATAGCATGAAAAAAATTGTCCAGCACACCTCACAATTAGTGATGTTGTTATTATGTGTCATGTATGCTTAGCCTTTAACTTATTGACATAAAATTAATTGAATTCAATGAAAAATTTTTTTCTATTTATAACATTTTTAAATGTTGATAGACGCTTAAATCCGGCTCTAAATCCTGCCACCAAGTCCGGCCGGGCCAGATTTAAAAAAAGCCGGATTTTGGCCGGGGCCAAACTTTGGTGCATCCCTAATTTTTATATCAGAAATTATTATGAAGAATTGGACGCAGCCCAAAAAAAAGTAGAACCATAACCGTTATTAACAACTGCAACAAACCCGGCAGCATCAACAACATCAACAACAACATCAACAACAATATCGACATCAACAACATCAACAGCCAAAACGTACTATCAAACTGTAAGCTGTTGATGTGACGAAATGAAGCTGCTTTCGATACTGGTGCATTCAAATCATTAAGTTCATTGCTTCTGTTACTAACTCCTGGATTGTTATTCATCAAATCAACACAATCATTACTGTTATCTGCTTTCGTTACTATGGGATCGTCACAAGGCGTGACAAATGATGACGAAGATGATGATGGTGGTGGTGGTTGTGATGATGATGGTGGTGGTGGTTGTGATGATAATTGTGATGGTGGTAATGATGGTAGAGGCCCCGATGAATTTCTCAATGGGGAGGACAGGGACTGCCTTCGGGAGCTTCCAAGCAGGTCGTCATCAACGAGACCGCAGTCAACTGCAGAGAAGGAGAATTGAATGCGATAGTTTTGTACTTAACATAAACGTTAAAATAGCAGCTTAGACGTAATTATATAAAACATTTTTATTGAACTGTCAGTTGAGAGATGAATTGATAACTGAATGAAATACTCCTACTAACATTCCAACATCTCGAAATGCTTGGCGTAGGATCTCTCCCAATCTTCCTTGCTAACTGCACGCAGCGAATAAAAATAATTATTAATTCTCAGTAGTGGGAGTGCATCTACGTGGGTGGAGTAAGAAGCGTTAGGTTAGGACTAACGTTTGAGATTGGAGATGGCATCTTGTAGCAGGCGCAAAGCCCGTTTTTCTTTGCATTCAATGAGAGCCGAGATGAAATGTTTGAAACCGTCACACTTCTGACCCATATGCAATGTCAGTCTAGTCATCTTCGTCAGGTTGGAATCGATACACAAGTCATCTAAGTCTTCCGAACTGCATTTTGTTGAAAAGAAAATAAGCTAAAACACTGCATTCGTTCTATAATATGTTGTGATTTGACGAAACAATTACCGCCACAATCACAGCCATCATCATCATCACCACTATCATCATCATCATCACTATCATCATCATCACCACTATCATCATCATCACAAACCCTAAAACATCATTTTCAACGGGACACATCATCATCATCATCACGATCATCATCATCATCACGATCATCATCATCATCATCACGATCATCACATCATCGTCATCCTCACAAACCTCAAAACATCATTATCAACGAGATAATCGATCAGGGGATCAACAGCAACCTTCACCAAACTTGGAAGTAGAACGTGCACCATCTGGAAGAGTTCCTTGTTCCGCGCTTTGTCGCTCGTCAGAGAGGTACGCAGCTCCTCTGATACTTCTAGAATTTTTATTATTTCCATGTAAAAATAATCTAAATTCCATTGAATCATTCTTTTCAGTTTAACTAACAAAGTTCTGGTTAAGACCTTTTTATTATTTAAGGTTTTTATTATTTTCATGTAAAAATTATCTAAATTCCATTGAATCATTCTTTTCAGTTTAACTAACAATGTTCTGGTTAAGTTTTCAACTAACAAGATATGTTTGGTTCATTAGATTTTATTACATTACAGCTCTGTTGACTCCGCTCATAAATTGTTTAACCCCCGTCCACAAACTGCTCTGCCCTCAAATTTTATGGCTCCACTCACAAATTTTACAGCCCCATTTGCAATGCGTTTAACAAGAAAAAATTGCTGTATTTTATTAATTTAATGAAAAAATTGTACTGTCCCTCTGTGTGGAACCCCCATTATAAGTACCAAGTGAGAAAAATCGAAAACGTCCAGAGAAGGTTCACGAAATCAATTCCTTCCTTACACCATCTACCGTATTTATCTCGACTACAAGCAGTTAAAATGCAAACTCTGGAACACCGCAGATTAATTTATGACTTATGCTTTTTATACAAAATTCTTAACAAAAATATCCAAACTGATCTGATTGAGAAATTCATCCCGGTTTCGTATGTGTCGACTCGTGGGCATCAGAATAAGTTACGTGAATTAAACACTAACGCCAAATACTTCTTCTGCAACAAAATCATACTTATATGGAATGCGTTGCCAAAAGAAGTGGTGTCCTCAACATCTCATGCCGTCTTCAAGAATCGCTTACTGGCTGTTGACTTGTCCAAATATTTACTAATCAAACAACTATTAAATTAATGTTTGTTGTCATAATTATTGTGCTCTATGATAAAAATGTTAATGTTATTCGTGATTTAATGCCATTATTAACTTCTCTATATATATGTGCATGTTGTGTATATATGTGTATGAGTGTATGTGTAAGTATATGTATTTATTTTTTTTTTTGTTTTTGATGGATAACAATGAACTTGAAAGCGAAATCTGTGTTTACATTTATTAGTTAAGTTCTTTGCCATACTGATTGCTTGTGTGATGATGTTGATTGATGATAGCGACAATAATATTTTTATGTAGATTTATTCTTCTTGACGTTACGTTTAGAGAAATTGTTTTTCTTTTTTATCAACTAGGTAAGTGGTCTTTTAGATCCTCTGGTTGTTTGTGAATAAATAAATAAATAAATAAAAATGGAAAAGAATGATGTGTGGTGGTGCATGTGCTGATGTGAAACTAAACGGGATGAAATTAAAGAAAAGAACGAATTACCTTCTTGATAATCGAAATTTTGAATTGCAATCAACAAGCTCTCTTCAGAGTCTGTCAGTTGAAATGTAGAAAATTTAATCAATAAAACTGTAATAAGCCTCGTCTCTAAATTAACATCTCATATTTTTAATAAACATTTTCCGACAACAATATCTCTAAAATTATCAATCTAAATGTAACATCAGTAGCAAGTAACATAAGAGCAGACATGTACCGACTCGATGAGAGGAGTAGAGGACTTAAGGCATTCAGGGCTTCCAACTCTTTCATCTCTTTCAGACACTTAACCAATTCCAAGAACCAATTCTCTTTGTGACTTTGATTGGCAGATTGGTTATGGTGTGGGTCGTTTGAAGGCGGTTAGTAGGTGTTTGGTAGAAATTAATTTTTTTTTAAACGCATTTTGGTAGCACTTTTGTTTAACAGTAATTTAAAAAGTTTGCTAAAAAAACAAAATGAACATTAAATACGCATGTATGAGTAAAATTGATTGTATCAATACACAGTTGGTTGAGTAGAGAATAATTATCAGGACATCGTTTGCATTTGAAACGGGTACCCACACAGCTAAACATTAATGACCGGTCGCTGGCAGCCTCAAAGGCCATTTAACAGTTTGAGTTAACGGGCCTTCAAGAGATCGATTACGGGGCTTTTGACGGCCACCCTCTAAATTAAAGGGTAGCTAATGGCTTGAGATGACTAAGCACTAAACTGAACTGAACTGATTAACTGTCCTACAACCAAGCAACTGTTTGTTTTGAAAGCAGAATAAAATTCAACGTTTATACAACTTGAATTTAAATATATAAATATAAAGATTTTTATCCAACCTGCTAATGAAACTAATGAATTGATGCATTGATCCATTTCTTCTGATCCATTCATTGGTTTCTGTTACACTGAAATTTTGCAATTTGTATATTCACTTTATAATTTGACAGAAGATAAAGTCTTTTAACAAAAGCAGTAATTTCAGTGATTCAAAAAAAAATTATTTAAAAAAATGTGAAAGGAACAAACTTGATGACATCTTTCTCATGCAGTTTGGTTACAAGCTTTTTGTAATCAATTCTACGCAAATGCTTTATTCTTTTAAAAATAATTTCTCTGAAGATTTCCTTATCATTAATATTCAAGTCATCAAAATTTAATTGTTTGTACATTTTAACAGAGCCTGTTTTTGAATAATTACGTAATATTTAGATCATATATTTTCAAATTTATTGAAAAATTTTAAACAAATTTTTAATTAAAATAATTAATCAAAATTGAAACCAAATAAAAACCATTGGACTTGAGAGCGTCAAGAATTATTTGATAAATTCTCCCATCAACATTATTCAACAGCCATTTGTAAAACATTTCATTTAATTTTTTCCCATTTTGTGACAGCATCAAATTAAACTGCTCTTCTAAAGGAAAAAAATGAAATTTTGTTTTAAATAACATGAAAAATAACTTTAATAATCCTAAAATAAAAACCAATCAATCAATCAATTAGCTTATAAAGCGCTATTTCCGCGATGTTCAATAGCTTTCCTCAATGAATTTTGCCAACAGATGGGTCTGAGATCCGCTCTGAACTTCGTAAGTGATGGAGAAGTAGTCAGAGAAGTAGGTAGAGAATTCATGAGAAAAGGGCCAGAAAAAGCAAATGCAGATTTAGCAAAAGAGTGTTTAACACGAGTAAAGAAGAAATGAGAACAAGAAGACGATCGTAAACCGGGACGTTTAGGTTAGATTTAGATTGAGAATGTGCAAATTTTAAAAATTATTCTATATTTTCTAAGTTAGCCAGTGCAAGAGAACAAGATATGGAACAAAAAAGATACCTTCAATCTCCTTGATGAGATGAGTTAGGATGTAAGAGCAATCTAGATCATTCAAAATAGTTTTTCTAAAATACATTACCACATCTTTGTGGCCTTCCTCCGCCATTTCAATTTACTTCAGAGAAGACTTATTGTCGTTACTTAAAATATTTTTGTGTTCCAAGTTTATTTTTTAACAATGACTTATTATTTGGTAAATTTGGTAAAAGATTTAATTAACTTTATTAAATTAAAATTTTAAAACTACCGACCTAAAATATTTAATTTTATTTTTAGCTACTTTCGATTTCTCAAACTGTCAGAGCTTTTCTTAAAAAAATATGAATGTTTATTATTCTTCAAATTGATATCAAATTTGATATCACACACTTGAAAGGAATTTTAAACTTTACAATTTAAATAAAAACTGATTATTATTTCATAATATATATATAGAGAGAGATACGTATGAACATATATACACATACACACAGATTACCTGCTGGTTTCGCTACAAACAAAATCTTGAGACTTTTCGATTTCTATAAATAGCCGATATCGAAAACTTGGGAATTCCAAATGTTTTGCTCACAGGTGATATCAATCAAAAACTTATTGTGTGCATAAAAACACACCTTAAAATTATTAATAAAAGTAGAAAATATTTTACACTAACGCTTTATTTGACAATTATTAAAATAAGTTACATTGATAAAATGCCATTTATATATATTTCATATACATTTATTAATATTTTTATTATATAAGTAAATTGATATTAATTAGTGAGGACGAATAACGATTAAACAATTTTTAAAACTAATCTTCATGCAGCATGAAATTTAAATTAGAATGGCTCGTTCTTATCGTGTACTTTATGTATACATTATGTTTTACTTGGAACAAGAGATGAAAATTCTGCATATATGGATATAAGGTTGTGGCAGACAAAAAATTTATTACAAGTGATTACATTTAAAAAATGCAAACGTGAACAAAATCTTCTATTATCTTTTTTTAAATTTTTATATTTTTTAATCATCAGATAGTAAAAATTTTTAAATTTTTGTCTATGTTTTTACTGCGTAAACGGCGTAAACAATATCTGTGTTTTAACATGGATCTATATATATATATATATATATATATCCATGGTTTTAATTCACGTTGTTTATTAATTTAGTTATTAGTTCTGGGTTCTTTACGGTATTTCTAGCCGAAGTTGTGTTGTGAAGACATCGAGCTTCTCTTGCTTCCATTTCGCCATTTGTTTTGTGTTCGCGTTAATTTGCCGAATTTGATCCATTAGGATATATAAAAAAGGGATTTTGTTTGCGGTTTTGTTATAAGAACAAATTTGTTTAAAGTTTGTTCTTTTTATGTTGGCATTTATATTTAAAAAACGGAAAGTGAATTCAGGAAGGATCAACAAAACAAAGTAGACAAAATGGCCGACGAATTGGACATCGATGCTTTGCTTGAAGATGCGTTCAAAAAATCTGTAAGAGTCAATTTATTTTTTACAAAAATTTTAATTTATTAACTTAACTAATAATTTTGTTCATAGGAAAGAAATGGAGAAAGGTCAAAGAAATCTGACAGAAAAACGGATGATAAAAAGAAATCATCAGACAGTAAAAAATCAGATGACAGGAAGCGAAAATCAGAAGAAAGAGATGGTCGTAGAAAGTCAAGAGATCGTGGTAATAAACGTAGATCAGATGATGATCATGATGATGACAGGAAAAAAAGGTTAGTTGACTTACTGATTATAATGGCCCCAAAATATCCAATGTTGTTTGTTGTTTTGATTTTGCATGAATTTTTACAGCAATTATTTAGTTATTCAACTTGAAAAATTGATTTCTTTAACAACTTATGACACTTGCTGTTATCACCATCATCCCATTATCATTTTTCGCTAAACTGACAAACACAGAAATTCAGATAAGTGTACTAGTGCCAATTGAACGACAGCATTACCATTCTTCCATTACATAAAATACATACACAACCTAACATTCATTCATTCTCATCAATGAATTCTTCACAACCACCATCCCCACTAAGCAATCACCAACCACATAACAACGAACAGGCCCCAATCATGATCTGAATCTTACTTCTTATATTATATGTACTAGCCAAACAATGTTCGAAGGTATGACATCATGGCCATCATTCTACTCGTCATCACTTGTTTATTTATGTTCTTTTGTTTTTTATTCTGTTTAGGATTTTGTTCGTTGCTACAACTCTTTTTTTTAAAAAAAATTTTTAATTTTTCTTCTTAAAATGCAGAAAAAGAAGTAAGGACAATCACAGGTATGTTGTGTTTTTTAGTTTTTACCTAGTATTTTACTGTTGATTGCATTGCTATTAATGAATTACGTAATTTTATAATAATTCTTTCATGATTTTTATAATTTTTTTTACTTCTGGAAAAAATATAAAATAAACTTAGTAGTACCTCATTAAATTAGTAATCAATTATAAATTTTCAGTGACAGAAGACGCAGATCGAAGAGCAGATCTAAATCGAGAAGTCGAGACAAATCCAGAAATAAAGACAAGCCCAAAAATCGAGGCAAATCCAGAAGTCAAGACAAGTCCAAAAACCGAGACAAATCCAGAAGTCGAGACAGGTCCAAAAATCGAGATAAATCCGGAAGTCGAGACAGGTCTAGAAGTAGAGACAAATCCAGAAATCGAGACAGGTCTAGAAGTAGAGACAAGTCCAAAAGTCACAGGGATAGAGAAAGAGAAGAGAGACAAAGGGAAAGAGAGAAAGAAAGAGAAAAAGAGAAAGAAGAAAAGGAAAAAAGAGAGAAAGAAAGAGACGAGCGTAGGAAGGAACGGGAGAAGGAAAGAGAAAAAGAAAAAGAAGAACGAAAAAAGAGAGAGGAAATAGAGAGAGGTAGAAATGTTGCCAAATTGGAAGATGATAGTAGGAGAGGAAGTCGAGATCGTCGGAGGTCATCGTCCAGGGGAAAGAGGTTTGTTGTTATTATCATTTTAGCTTCTTGGTTAGCTTGATTTTAGGTCATTTTCAATAAAAATATGTTATTTGTACTAATTTAGTTTCATTTTGATTAGATTCAAATGATAGATTTTTAAATGTTAATCTTTAAATTAACAACCTTCAAGAGATTCTCCTGAAATGACAGTGGAAGAAAGAGATGTGAGAACAGTATTCTGCATGCAGCTGTCACCTAGGATCCGCCCGAGAGATCTGGAAGAATTTTTTTCCTCTGTTGGAAAGGTATGGCTCTCAATCATTTCTTTAAAAATATTTATTTGTTATGGTTATGTTTATCAAATTGTAATTTCGTTTTTCATTTATTCGACCAGGTACGAGACGTTCGACTGATCCTAGATAACAAGTCCCACAGATCGAAAGGGATAGCCTACATCGAGTTCAGGGACATCGAGTCCGTTGCTCTTGCAATAGGATTGAGTGGCCAGAAACTTCTTGGGGTGCCCATCATTGTTCAGAATGCACATGCTGAAAGAAACAGACAGGCAAGCACCAACCAGCCAGCCTCTGTTACCATAGGAGCTGGTGGTTCTTCTCCAAAACCTCCTCCTGTGCCAGAGGGCCCTGGAAGGTTGTATGTCGGTCTTCTGCATCCTAACATCACTGAAGAAATGCTTTCTGGATTGTTTGAACCTTTTGGAAAGGTTTACTTTTAAATGCTATTTATTAAACAATTTTTTAGAATAATAGAACAAATCATGAGATTTTAATTAATTTGTTGCAGTATAACAGTATGGTTTTGAATGATATTAATTAAAATTCTAATATTTATTAATATTTTGTGATTAAATTTGTAAGTTGCTTGAGTTGAAGTTAGTGAAAGACCCATCATCAGGCAAGTCAGCTGGATACGGATTCATCACTGTAAGTCCTCTCACCATCATTTTCATCATCTTCGTATTTGCATCATCGGCCTTTTTATTTCATGTACATTTCATCTGTCATATCTGTTTTAATCTGTTGTTCAATTGTTGTTAGAGTCATCTTATTTATGTGGATTTGTTTAAATTCATTTGTTACATAATAATCATCCTTTATGCAGCATCATATTGTTACTTATTTATTCACTCACGCACTCATTCACTCACTCACTCACTCACTCACTCACTCACTCACATTCAATCATTAACTCACTCACAGTATGCTCTAACTGAAGATGCCAAGAAAGCAATGGGACAATTTAATGGATTTCAACTGGCTGGCAAGGCTATTAAGGTACTTTGTGATCATTATTTTTATTCTCATTTTCATGATGCTGATTCAAGTGGCAAAAATGATGATGACGTTGATTTGATATTGTGATGATGGTTGATATGAATTTTTTTTGGGATTGTGATAATCTAGATAATATACTGTGATGATTACTGTGGAGTTGTTAACGTGTTATTATAATGTTATTGCCTATGCCAGTTTATGAAATGCCTTGATGCCTATTTTTCAACAATGCTCACAATGCCTGACCTATTACAAATTGTATAATAAAAATATTTACACTGTTGATAATTTAGGTAGGATTTGTGACAGAGAAGACGACAGAAATCCTGACATTCGATGCCGAGCATCCAAAACCGACACACTCTACATCCACTGGTTTCAATCTGGGACCAACTGAAAGACTGCAACTTATGGCTAAGCTGGCTGAAGGTTTGTGTCTCTTGTATGTGTTGGTTCGGTTTGAATTAGTTTTTGTATATGTTTGTGTTACTAGTATGCCTTGTTTTGTTTGTATGAGTTTTTGTATGTTTGTATTACTTTGTATGTCTTGATTATGTTTGTGAGAAGTTGAATGTGTTTGTACATTGCGTTTGTATATTTGATCTTTCCTCTGGGGATGCTTTATTTATTTATGTGTTTTTGACTGCTTATTTATTTTACAATAGAGGGTGTTCTTACACTTCTGAGTTTCAGTTTTTAAAATGATATTAGCCAGATTAATTTACTTAACAAGATTTTGATGTGATTTAAAGTTTAAAATAATTTTATGATAATTTAATTAATTTAAAATTCATCACTGTAGGCACCGGAATGCAGTTGCCAGCAGCAGCAACCACAGCAATCAGTGCCAGCAATCAGGCCGTAACTCCTCCCATTGCCACACAGTGCTTCATGCTCTCCAACATGTTTGACTTGAAAAAGTATGTCGCAATTCCGTTATTTTAAAATTTTCTTTGAATTTCACAATAATATTTGTAGAAAGTACCATTTATGAAACATGAATTTTACAAAAACGTCAAATTGTTTCTCGCAGGCAAAATGCAGCAAACTGGAAAGAGGAGTTGCGTGATGACATAATTGAAGAATGCAATAAACACGGCGGTCTTATACACATGGTCATTGATGAGGCATCGGACACTGGAAATGTTTACGTCAAGTGTCCATCTGTGGTCAGCGCTGCAGCTGTTGTCAATGCTCTGCATGGAAGGTACTTTGCTGGTCAGGTGATAACTGCCGCATACGTGCCATTGCCGAATTATCATACCTTGTTTCCGGAATCAATAACATCGTCGCAGCTCTTGCAACCGTCGTTGCTGTACAACAATCATATGTAACTCATCATATGTAACTATATCTTATCTTTCTACTTGTCAATTATATTGTTATGAAATTATGATTAGTAAATTTTTTAGCCGTTATAGGAGCTGTATGGTCTTGTGATTAATGAATGATATCCATTAAAATATTTTTCTCTATATTAATTAATCATAATCTACAGCTGATTGGAGGGATATTTGGAATTATTGCTTGTCAGTCTGATTTCTTTGAAGAATGTATGTCTTAATTTTTTTGCTGATGTTTGAGTTTAGATGGTTTACGTGCACTTGTGTGTTTGTTTATACGTTATACGTGTGTATGTATGTATGTGTGTGGAGATGTTAATATATACACATATATGTATGTGTGTGCTTTTTTATTATTAAACAAAAAAAAATTTGCGTGTTTAAGTATTGGAAAAGGTAAATAAATACAAAGTTTTTGGCGTCATCTGTCTGTTAAACTTATGATTTGGATTTTTATGATGTTATAAGTCTTTGTTTTATTTGGTTTCACTTTTATGCTCGTTTAAAAAATGAGTGTTACAGGATTTCGTTAATATGTTTACGTTAAGTGTCAAACCGTAATTTGTACTGTAGCTGTTGTCAGTGCTCTGCATGGGCAGGTACATGATAGTCAAGTGATAACTGCTGCCTATGTACCATTGCCTAATTAGCATATTTTGTTACCTTAATCTGTAACAACGTCACAGCACTTGCAACCGTCGTTTTCGTTCAAAATACATCACTTTAACTACATACGGGAGATAACATTCATCTTTATCTGAAATTGCGCCGTTATATTTTATTTTCAAACTATCACATCAGCCGGACCCATACCATTTGACCTAGCTATAATTGATGTGTTACTTAGATGTTCTTTTTTTACAGAAATGTTTATAAGGCGAAAGGAAAAATTTATACACATACATATATGTGTATATATTAACATCTCCATACACATACATACATACACACATATAACGTATAAACAAACACACAAGTGCACGTAAACCATCTAAACTCAAACATCTGCAAAAAAATTAAGATAGTGCCAGTAAAAAATGTATGTTGGCAGTTTTGAGAGAATATGTATCGAATATCTTAAGAGGAAATTTGTGAGTGTGTGTGTTATTGCAATTGAAATTATGAGCAAATTCTCATTTTCACGACAGCAAGTCCACAGGACTAGATTGTAATGCGAATTTCGTTTAATGTTGTTTCTGTTTATAAGGAAGTAGACAGGATGTCATTAGCGATATTAATTACATTGACATTGAGTAATGGATTTGTTTGAAAAAAATTAGTTTTTTCCTGAACCGTTTCCGGTGAGAAATGTTAATGAGTTTCCGGTTAGCACTAGCTTGCTGGGTGGGACTAGATCCGGTTTAAAGCTGTTCTGTGTACATCTTTCGTTAGCATTTAAGTTTACATTTAATCGTTTGCTGTTTTTACGGTGCAAACAAATGATTTTTTTAAATTTGTTTTTCTAATTTGAAAGTCTTACGGCACGGATAGTGTAATTTATTTCATCAGACAAAAAATTTATTCAAAAAAAGTATATAAATAACTTTCTAACTAATCGTCGTTGGTCTTTTCTGTTTCATTCATTTTTTTCCATTTATTAAATTAAATTTTTTCTACACTGCTGATTAATTAATTAATTTCAATTAAATTATTACATATAGTTTATTTTGTTATAATACTTTATTATTATTATTTTAATAAAGGTTTGGGTAGAAGTTAAGTTTGATTATGAAAAATAAAATGAACCTAAAGAATTATCACTCACATTTAACTGAATTGTTGGAATCAGCATTGATAAGTTTGTGCTGTGAAAGTCTTCCATCCAATTTCAAAATTGAAATTGATGGATTGGTTTGCGTAAGTTTGGCCGACATCGACCAGCAAATTGTTGTGAAGATTCACAGGTTGATAGCACCCCAATACCCATCCACAATTGATCCATTCAATCTCAATTGTAAAGATAAAAATGATGATGAAACAGATGAAAGTCTCATCAATGTCGAACAGAACAACACTGACCTTGTTCAGACTGAGGCTGCTGTCAAAGATATGAATCTTAAATACAGATTACTACATTCTAAAGGTTATAATCATTTGGGCATTAATGTGAATGGTTGCGGTGATGGAATAAAAAAACACAGTGCCTTCACAAGAATTGAACCCATGGAAACCAAATCACACTTTCTTGATAGCACCAGCAAACGATTGCTAAATAAGCAGTCAGATACTGTTGTGTCAAAAGAATTGAGAACATGTGCACTTTGCTTCAAGAAATTTTCCACATTCAATGAATATGGAAAGCACATAAGCGAGGTGCACAACCTTCATGGCTGTCACAAATGTCCTAAACTCTTCACTGCAACATCCAACTTGAATCGACACATGAAGTTGCACTTGGGCATCAAGCAATACAGGTGTCAACTCTGCCATGCTGCTTTTGCTAGGAATTATTACCTGAAACAGCACATGAACAAACACATCTCTCAGGCTGCTGGCACCTCTGAAGAAAATAGGGATGTACACGGAAGAGATAACAATGCAGAAAATCATATAAACGAGAATATTGATATTATCGACACTAAAGATATAAAAATTGAAACTCTTGATCGTGGTTATAATAATGAAGACATACATGTCGATCGCAAAAATAATGTCAAGGATGAGGACAATGGTGACAATGATAATATTAAAATAGTTTATAATTTTAATAACAGCAACACCAACGATGATAACAAAAATAAAAGTGATATCGTCGATGATAATAATGAAAATAGTTGCCATAGCGAGGATAAGGAATTGTTGAATGTTGGAAACCTGCAGCCTACAAAGAGGTCTACAAAGAATTCTAATAAACCTGCAAGAGAACCGAAGAGAATAAGTGATGATAATGTCAGTGATGGTAATAGCAACAATGATAACGATGATGTTGATATTAATAATGATGATGGCGATAATATCTACGATGAGAGTGTGGGTAGCAGTGATGGTTTTGATGATTGGAACAAGAACGATGTGACATACAAAGTGCACAACAACCATCTCACCATCGTCATGAATCCCCAATCGTGCATGAGGTCAGTTCTGAAGAGGAAATTATTTCTCGACCACAATGGCGAAACTCTCGTTAATGATGCTCCTGATGATGGTGTGGTTTGCCACAGCAGTGACTACAGAGGTGGCAAAAAGATAAAGACAGAGGCAGATCCAGATTCGAATGCATCTTTGGTAGAACTTGAAAAACATGCCAATAACAACAGCAATAATAATGATGATTGTTTTTCTGAAATAGACGAGATTACAGATAGCACACACAACCTGTCGTCAGATGCAATGAAATTGTCATCATCTACAACGTCATCTCCCTCTGTTTCGTCAAGATTTAAATGCTGCCAGATGAACTGGCCTACATTCGTTGACTACGAACAACACTGCCTGTCTGTCCACAATCGATATCCATGCGAAGAATGCTCGCAAACTTTTACTTGCAAGAACAACAAACGACGCCATTTTAATTGCTACCATGGTAGTAAGAAAGAGATCAGTTGCAGTTTATGCTTCAAAACGTTCTCCAGAACTGACATAATGAAGGAACATAGACTGACTCACACAATTAGCTACAAAGAAAATAAATGTCAGGTTTGCAGTTTCATTAGCGAGAAAAAATCATTACTTCTCAGTCACCTGAAAAAATGCTTCAGAAAGAACAACGCAAACTTCCTTGACTATTAAATAAAAATTATTTTTATTTATGCTATTTAGTTTTAATAATTCAATATTTATTTGTATAGTCTTTACTTGAACCATTGTGTATAAATCTACGATATTGGCCACTGTAATTGTTACGATTGTTACTTTATTTTTATAACAATAATGTATTTATACAATTGGTCTATTTTTATAACCATTAATATTGCAACGGAAAATACAAAAATGAATTAATGATAAATGAACGAGTGAATGAATGAAAAATGGATGGATGAATGAACGGGAACAAAGATGAATGAGAAAGTGAAGGATAAATGAATGAGTGAACAAATGAAAAATGGATGGATGAGATTGAAGTCAATACAAAATTTACCATATTTCTGTCAATCATTCATTCCTGTACATGAGTAGTTTAAAATTACATTCACATATTGTCGTCACGTGGCGTTGGGTGATGTCACAACGACGCCATGTTTTTACATCATCTATTATATATATATATATATATATAGAGAGAGAGAGAGAGAGAGAGAAAGAGATCTTTATATCGTAAGAAGAATTCGTTTACTGAATCTTCATTCATTCTGATTGTTACTCCAATCATAAATAATGGCATTAAAAGGCTTTTGAAACCGCCACCATCATCGTTATCATCATCATGTTTGTCACTATCATTACATTAGCATCACGTCTTATTTTTGATAGTACCATATAGTCATCATTCATTTAGATCTACTATCTAATCTTTGTGCTATGTATGTATCTATATATGTACACATAGAGGCGCCATATTGTATATATATATGCAATTATTGACAGTCTTAATCCAATATATATATATATATTATTTATTGTATCCATATGTAAATGTGTTTTGATATATTTATATATCATTGATATTTAGATATATTGTGTGCGCATGTATGTGTATCTATACGCAGAACGTCCGTAGAGTTTGATATGAGATAGTGTACGTAATGGAATTATTTAGATATTACGAAATTATCAACAAGCAAACTAATGAATGATTTTTAATAATTCGTAAGAGAATTTAAAGTAAATAATAATAAGTTTATGATTGGTCAGTTTTATATAGTAATAACAAATAAGATTATCATCACAACTTTTTCTACAAACAGCGTCTACGAAATGAACACGTACCAAATGACCTATCACACACAATGCACGTGATTAAGCGGGGTTCCTAATGTTGCATTCGAAACCGGTAACTTCGTGCAACAGGACCAGACTACCTTCTTAACGTAACCACCAGGCCTTCACGTCGCCCATTTTTATGCCATGTTACAACAGCTAATAATAATAATAACATTATCATAATTTATTAATATTACGTTATGTACAATTTTTTTCTCATTAAAATGCTGTTTTTACATTGAATACACATGCGGACATGGTTGTCATTTGAATCAGAAAATGGAATTTTTAAGAAATTTAACAAGATGTTTCAAAAAAAAACAAATATATATATAATAATTTACACAATCAATCAACTAATTAGTTGATCAATCAACTAATTAGTTAATCAGTCAGCTAATTAGTTATTCATCAAAAAGTCGACCGCCTCAATCAAAAGCACTTCAATCACATATCAACTTTAACCACCTTATGCTTTTTCAATTTTTATAGTTCGATCACAACTTACACTCAATTCAATAAAATAAAATCATTTAATCAATCAATCACTCGATCAGTTGGCTAATTAAATCAATCAGTCAATCAACCAACCAACTAATAATACAATCAACCAACCAATCAATCTACTGAATGACAAATCAATAACCAAAATGTAGTCTAGTTGAAATAACTGAGACAAAGATCATCACCATCTAACAATTGTTCAATTTCCATTGAATATTTACATTAAAAGAACATTATTTCGATTAAATCATAAAATATTGGAACAACAAAAATAATTATGATTGGTGGATTGATGGGTTTAGTCAGCCAATCAATGATCATCTGGATCTATGAAGAGAGCTGATAGGGCAAATATTAAGAAGACCACGCCTCCAATGAAATGTACTGTATAAACGAATTAAGAATTACTTTTATGTCAGTTTATTGGTTGAAAATATCAGCTAATAAACTATAAATAAATAATATATTACTATAATTAGCTAAAGCAAACGAAAACTTAAGTATATTTTTTATATTTTTTTATGAAACAAATGCGTAAAAGTTTAGGAAACTAACCCGATTTAATGGAGATATGTTGAGCTATGCACCTTCCACCAATCACAGCGAGACTAGTGCAAAGGGCATGTCCCAAAATTCCACCCAATATGACACCCGATACTTCCTGACCAATCATAGAATAAATAGCAGTAGATCATATTGCAATCTCATCCAATGAAAATGGAACAACGATTTGATTGACGTAGGAGTGTAGAAAAAATAAATTTTTCAAACTTCAACCGACATCTCTGGCGGCCAGTATGATGGTGGCAATTTGAGATCTATCACCCCACTCAGCAAGAAAGGTCAGCGTGAATGACTGAAGGAATACACGGGATACGAAAGAAAAGAGGAGTCGTCTTTGAGGCGTTCTTGAAATGCCCGCCTCCAAATCAACCATTGCCTGCTTGTCCACCTTTGACAAAAATGATGATTCAAATGATGATGACGATGGTGAAAAGGGTAATATATTCCCAATCAACATCATAATCATTGCCACCACCATCATGACCATCATCATCGCCAACATCATCATCACCATCACCTCTTCCTCTTTCTTTCTCAGTTCACTTTGAACTTCTTCATATTCTTCTTGTGCTTCATTTGCATCCATTGTGTAAGCTGACATAAAATCAATCAATCAACCAATCAATTAATAAACCAGCCAACCAATCAACCAATCAATTAAAATTTATTTAGCTTGGTAAATAGGCTAATTGATTGATTGATTAATTAATTAATCAATTAAATAATTAATAACCTTAACAATTAATAATAACCTTAATTAATAACATTAATAACCTTCCTTAAGCATTTTGATACCAAAGACTGCAAACAGTGCACAGGAAACGTAATAGGTCAGCCATCGTGGTATGATCGTCGTAGCATAACCAAGAAATGCTACATTTTATAATTAGTGAATAAAATTGTTTGCTCAATTTCAAAATGAAATTTCTATTTGAAAAATTTTATATTGCCCAAGAACAACAAAAACATTATTTTAAACTTAAAATGTCTTGGCACACATCTTGGCAAAAGGTAAACTTCGTAAAATTTATACATGTTAGAAGTAAATAAAGAGATAAATTAAAGATAAAACTGAAAATGTAAAGACATTTTATCTAATATCTTAGTAACTTTATTTCAACCTAATTACATTACTAGATATTTACAATAGGTACAAACACAGCTACAAACACAACAGCACGTGATCAGATCATAACCTATTTATTTCGTTACATAATAAAGAAACAAACATAAATATGTGTAACAAACAGGGTGACTTAACATAGCAAAACTAATTTTTCTAACAACACAAACAACTAAGTTTCTTTTGATTTCACTCAATTAGTATAACAGCATAGACTGACCAGAGTAACTAACACTAACTTCTATAAAATATCACTAACTTTCTCCTAACATCACCCAACTAGGGTGAACAACACTAATTTTTTTTTTTCAGGATACAACTAATCTCCCTCTAATATCACTCAACCAAAGACCAACCAGAGAGGACAGTCATGAGAGCAAGAGCAAGTATGGCCCCCATAAAAACGGTGGTCCTCGAGTACCTCATAGACATAATAGCCGCGATGAAAAATGTCTTATCGCCAAGTTCGGAGACGATTATAACGGATAGAGAAGCAAGGAAGGCATGTATGAAGCCGATATCCATCTCTATCATACTTTTACTCTCTGATTTTCTTCCTTCTATCCAGGAAGAGGATGCTGCTGATGTCTCCGTGGCACTCTGGGAAATAGAAGTTGAAAAAATATTGTAATTATTTTCTGTAAAGTGGTTAATAATTAAATAAACCTAAAAATTGCAATGAGTAAATAAGTGATATAAAAACTAACATAGACTACTTTATAAAAGTTACCACAAAATCAACATAAAAAACTAGCTTATGAATACTTTGTAAATATATTTCTTTTCAAATGTTATCATCATCATCATCATCACCATCATCAATGAAAAAAATTGATTCAAAAAGCTTACTAATCTGGCCATAGGACGAATACTATCTATAATAACATCCGCATTGCTACTACTATCCGTCCTGTCTTGCAAGGAGTTGTGATGAAAATCTTGATCATCTGAGTCATCATGGTCATCGGCTCTCACTATGTTGGTCAATGACAGTGTTAATAACAGGATAAGTAATGCTCTGAAAGAGTTGATCAAATGAACCATTTTACAATTCTCTAGATTGAATCTGTCAAAATTATAAGAAAGTTAATCATAACATAATAAATAAATGAATTTAGTTTAGCTTAGGATTAGTAAAATTAAATATAAAATGTAATACTATTCATCAGATAAGTTTTTTATTATGTTAAATGACAATGTAGCAAATATAGTAGTGTCAATTTTATTTTAATTTTATGTAAATAATAGATTATTTAACTTTTAACAAGTTTAAAACTCTATAAAAAAAAACTAAACTCTTATTCTAATAGTAGTCTAATGTCTAATTATTCTAATGCAGATCTAATCTAATATTATAAAAAAATAAATTATAATACTAATCTCTGGTCTAAGTAACTACTGAGCAGTACTAACTAAAAGTAGAAATAAACACTGAGACTGAAAAAACTAAAAACGAATTAGCCATTAAATTTTGAAGTGAACAAAAACAAAACAGGAATCTAAAAAAAACTAACCTTGGCTTACTACAGCTACTTCCACGAGTTCCAGTTTTAAACAATTTTCAAAAGTTAAATGGGGCAGTCCGGAACCTGATTTATCGACGTAATTTAAAAAAAACTTCTGTAAATATTGTCTAGTATAATTGACGTAAAAAATTAAAAATATAAATCAACCTAAAATAAATGTAAATTTGAAATAAAATTGACAACTTATCAAAAAAATAAACTTAAATGTTAAACAATTTTTTTTCGGTAAGCCATTGTGGTCGCTCTAACGGCCTAGTAGCAGACCAATTTTATATAACCAACCAGCTGCTCATGAAAATAACCGATACATATAAATTATGCCTAAATATCCAATTAATTATTAAAGTTATTATAACCAAAACGCAGCGTTTACAAACAACCAAGATAATGAATAACCCTATTTAAGCAAACAATCTGACCGCAAACGAGTGTCGCAGAGTTGTGTAGCAATTGAACTATAGTAGAAACACCTTAATTTAGTTAGACTGAGAAGTTACAGCTACACATAAGCCTCAACCAATTTTTTTCAAACATAAAGACAACAAATTTGTTTATAAAAAAAATAGCTAACACGGTAAATGGGGCTATAAACTAAGTACTAAATGAATAAAACGAATCATATGATCCGATTACAACACATGGTATATCTGTCAACCTCAGAAAGTGGTTGTTGGTCAGCAGTTGTACTGTCCATCTTTCTATGCGGACTCTTTTTTCTTTTGTTACCCTCAAAACTCTCGTCAGCAATAATCTCATTAGCTGTTAAGGTGACGTCATTGGGGTTTATATGCGAGGAGTTCAAACCCTTTTCTTCATTTATCGCCTGCTTAAGAGATTCGATTAGTTGGAGATCATTTTTCATGACTTCATTCTCGAGCACAGAATCAAGGCTGACGGTGCTGTTATATAACATGCTGCCCGGAGAGTTTAGTGAATACTTCCTCTTCAACAACTCCTTATCGACTTCATCACCAATGTCATCATCGCCATCGTCTTCAGCATCACCATTCTGGTGGTTATTGTTATTATTGTTGTTGTTAATGTTGTTGTTGATGATGTTAGTTTTGTTGTCGCTAGAAATTAGTTTCATGTCATTGTCTTCCACGAACTCTCCCATACTCTGACTCCTTCTGAATGAGTTCATGTCCTCAATTATCTCTCCGTACTCTTGAGTCGTCTGCAGATTTATTTTTGTTCAATATTGGAAATTCAATGTTAAAAATCTTGACTTAATCAAAAGACACTGTAATTCTAAGATTATTTTTAATACTTGAAGAAAAAATTGCAAAAAAGTTACCAACTTTCATAACGTCAATGTCATCCTTTGACGGACTTTTAACATTTTCCGGCTGTTGTGGTTGCTGCTGCTGTGTCGTTTCGGTGTTCGCGAGATTAGTTTTCAGTAGGATGTCTTTGTTTTCTTTGATGAGTTTGTGGGCAAACCCCAGCAAGACAATGCTCGTCAAGATTTTGAAGGTCAGTAAGCTGGAAGCACAATGGTGAAGATGATGATAATAATAATAAACTATAATAATAATAACAGTTACAACAACAACAATAATAATAATAACAACAACAATAATAATGATAGCCTGGTGCTGCAGTCGCATATCACATGCAATGTGTAGTATATAATGAGTTGTTGAAAGTTAGCACTAATAAAATGAATAAAATAAAAATTAACAAACCAAACAAACTACCAACCAGATGAAAAAGATGACGATGATGACGGCATCAATAAAAGTCCTGACCTGAATGGAATTCATGATGATCCTGACCAAGAGGACAGCGAGTGGGAGAGGGATGAATCCCATTCTACGGGATACAACATCCAGGTGATCGGAAAATGCCTGGTTGCGGAAGAGAATCACTCTTACTAACCTACTTCCGATACACCTTTTTTTTACTTAATTTAATTACTCTTACTCGTTACGCACAATAAAACGTACGAAACAATTATTGATACCAGTGTTATTGATACTAGAATGATACAACTAACTGTTTGGTGTCTATGTTATTGATACTAAAAAAGATACAACAAACTGTTTGATGTCTATGTTATTGATACTAAAAAAGATACAACAAACTGTTTGATGTCTATGTTATTGATACTAAAAAAGATACAACAAACTGTTTGGTGTCTATGTTATTGATACTATAAAGATACAACAAACTGTTTGATGTCTATGTTATTGATACTAAAAAAGATACAACAAACTGTTTGGTGTCTATGTTATTGATACTATAAAGATACAACAAACTGTTTGGTGTCTATGTTATTGATACTAAAATGATACAACTAACTGTTGGATGTCTGCTGCCAACGATATCATATGCAAGACTCACATTATACTCTCTGTAAACCTACACCACATGGCCATGAAGATGAAAATGATGATGGTGGTGTTGTAAATAATATGGTGGATTAAAATGGTGATGAGTTAAGATGACGATGAATTAAGATGACGATGAATTAAGACGACGATGAATTAAGATGACGACGAATTAAGATGACTATGAATTAAGATGACGATAAATTAAGATGACGATGAATTAAGACGATGATGAATTAAGATGACGATGAATTAAAACGGTAACATTCAACGATGACGTAGACATGATGACGACCAACAAGCATGACATGACGAGTGAGTACAAACATCAAATGATATGTCATTGAACTTGGTGATGAAGGCATGTTTGACCCAATCGACAAGTAACTCACACAACATCACCAACAACATATCCGGAAACAAGACCCAGAAATGATCTGAGGGTGATGAAGACGACGACGATGACGAAAATGATGATGATGACAGAAATTACGATAAAGACGATGATAACAAAGTCAACAACGACAATACCGATAACATAAACATAATTTAAATTTATTATGATCAGAATTACATATATAATATAATATAGTCATAATTTTAAATTAATTATTATCATGATTACGAGATAAAAGACCCCAAAACGCACCAAGACTCCATGAAAATTGTGCCAAGTTTCTGATTGCCACAATGAGTAATAGAACAAGGAGATGAAACCTATGACGTAGATGATGACGTAGATGTCAAATATGACGACGATGACAAAAATGTCGGAAAACTGATGATGACAGGAAAAAGCCATGATGACGAAAAACAAACAAAATGACGTCACCAAAGACACTAAATTATATGAAAATTTTTTAAGAACCTTTCGCGAACATCACTACAAGACATCTGGAAGAGATTATTCTTCTCAAACTTCTTGAAGACACTGGCCTTTAGTTCTACAAACTGTTTTGTTTATATAGTTCATTCATCATCGTCATCACTGCAATCATCATCACGTTATCACCATCATCATCATCATCGTCGTCGTCATCTTCACCACATCATAAACGTCATAAACCATATCACCATCATCATCATCATTAAAAGTGTCACCTCCATGTTAATCTTAATAACCTTCATTACCATCCATCGAATCGCCACAATCAGCACCACTATTGTAATCACATCATCATCATCACTATCACCACACCACCTCCATCATCACTAACGTTATTAGACATCATAATAGTGAGTAAGGCCTTGTTATGTGAATTGAAAGCTACGTTCAATGTATTGGCCTGCAGTAAGACTAGAATGGTATGCAAGACTGTCTCCCATAAAATGATGACGAAGATGATGACGAAGATGATGATGAAGACGACAAAGATGATGATGAAGACGACAAAGATGATGATGAAGATGTCGATGATGACAATGTTAAGATGTGATAGGAATGTGGACATATTTGATGGCAATGACAATTGCGTCAAGATTTTGACGTATGTAATAATAATAATAATAATAATAATAATAACAATAATAATAATAATAATAATGTTAATGATTATAATGATGACGATAACAAAAAGGATGATGTTTATAATGGTAAGACGGTGATAAGAATGATAGAGACAGCCGTGATGAAGACGACGTTCATTTTGATAATGATGAAATAGTTAAAGAAAAGTTTATAACGATAAAAAAAAATGAAAGAACCAGCTGGAAAAGATCAACCAACAAATTAATACCAAACATATTTTATTTATAGATCTTTCTTTCTTTAATAACGTGATCATACAGTCATACAAACAGACAGACAGACAGCCAGAACAGACAGACAGACTGACAAACAGCCATATAAAAGGATACAGACATATACAATGGCGAGAGCAACGTGTGGGATCAAGAGGATTTTATCCCTCACCCTACTCTTCCTCTCCGTGGCTGTCCAGAATAAACTGTCCAGGATATCCTGACCGAATGATGAGCACAATTTATCTGCAACCTTGAATGATGAGGATGACGATGAAGATGAATATGATGATGATGAAGATGACCATCATGATGATACTGGAGATGATTGTAAGAAATTGTTCAATGATTTTGATATTTTTAAGGTACATTAATTGGAGATGACGATGATGAAGAAACTGATGACGAAGACGACGATGATGATAAATTAATGACGATAAGGTCGACTTTATTTGAAGTTCAAATGTCGTCTGAATTTTTAAAAAAGACTCTAGCACATCACTCGCATATGATGAACAACTTGCATGTACGTACAAATGTGTATCTACACGCCGTGTGCTATGAACGTTAAAGCCATTGTAGTGTTAAAATTGTCTTTCAAAAGAGAATAACAAAGAAAAAATTTGTAAGCCACAACAAACAAAAACAAGAAATGTAAATCCAAACATGGCTTCACAAACATCGAGCATATTGAAGAATATGTAAAGCTTGATGACAGTCTGTCCCCTGATAACATGATACATAACAGACACATCAACGAGATTCATCAGTAGGCAGCAAACCAACAGGACAAACAACTTCAGGACATCACATTTCTCGGCTGGGTCCAACAGACCTCTGCTGCTGCTGCCACTGTTGCTGCTGCATGTGGTAGATGATGTTGTTGTCGTTTGTCGTTGTTGGGTGTGATTTTATCTGTAATTCCACTTTTAAATTATACATACGCACGTACAGCATACACACGCACGCACACACACACACAAACCAACACACACACATACACACACACACACACATACAGCGCACGCACAAACACACACAAAAACACACGCACATACACACACAAACACACACATATATATACACATAATATAAAAAAAATCTAAAGCCCACCTAAATCTAAAACAGCATTTAAAGAAGACCTTGATGAAAGATTTCAAGATTCTCAATGGCAAAAAGGTGAAGATGAATAGGAAAGCATCCAAACATTGGAAAAACCCATAGATCATGAACTTTAATAATATATATTCATTTGTTTAGTCATAGATATAGTTTAGTTTATAGTTTAGCTGTAGCTGTTACAGTTATAGATAGATAGGTAACTTTTATCTATTTGGTATTATTATATTGTTGTTAATTATTATGTAGTAATTTATCAATTATTATTATTATTATTTTTACAATTATTTATTCTTTTAAATTGAGGGGTACAATTTTCTGTTCATTATATATGTTATGTTAAGTTATGTTATTTATTAATATCATCATTAATATTAATCATTGCAATAAGACAATTAACAATAACAACAGTTTAATAATAAATTAATTCAAGATTAATATATAAATTAGCTTTTAACTTTTTCAAGTTCCTTGGGGATTTTTATAAAACTATAGACTCTTTTCCTTCTTTCTTGAAATTTGGCCTCGTCATTTTCGAGCCAATAGTTTCTTGTCACCTCATAGCTTAGGTATTCCCATAAACTCAATCCTATAATATAATCCAAACAGTAATTAGTATTTCAATTAATAATTGAATTTTTTTAAATATTAATTAATATTAATAGATCGTTGAAGTAGTAAACTTAGCCTTCTTAATCATATATGATGTGATATGAATCAGCAAAATTTCGTTTTGTTGATCACATTCTTACAATTATTTATATCATAATCAATGATATTATATAACCATAATGATTATGATAAAAATAAATACATCATATCATCATTAGTAAGTATCATATCACATCATCATTAATTACATCAATAATATAAAGTATAATTTTAATATAATGTTTATATTATAAACATTGTCTATGTATGTATGATGTCATTTTATTTAATTCAATTAATGTTTTTTTTTTTATGTTTTTTTTAGAATTGGATTTTCATTGGTTATGGTTTATTTTATATTATAAATAAAATGTATAATATGGCATATATGACCATTATATGCATATGCCATCATATAAAAATGTCTATAATAATTAAGAATTATAATATTATTTATTATAATTATATCTATCTATCTATCTATAATCTATCTCTATTCTATATTTACTTTATTTTCAACAATAAAGTGCGCTTCAAAAGCAGGGCCAAAAATGCATTTAATTAATAAATAGTGTGGCTAACTTTTACATCGTTGGGGTTTCTTTTTGCCTGACATGGGACTGGAAGTACTACTACTGATGGTACAATCTGTCTTGCTCTTAGTTGAAATTTTTGCTGTTGAAAGTTTATCATCGGCCATATTTAAATTTAAAATTTTTTATCAATATAATGATAAAAGAATAAAACACATATAAAAAGTTATCGGATTAATTAATAAAACGAAGTCAAGCTTTTTAAAAAAATTTAAAAACCAGAATCGAAAATATAATACTGTAAAAGTTGACTAGATTACAAAAACTTGCAATTAGAAGTAATAGTCTAGCGCTAAACTATGAATACTAATCAAACAACACATTCAAAAAAATAACCTAACGTGATATATATCTTTTTCATTTATTCAAATTTGATTTTATTGAATCAAATATACAATATGTCAAAAATTGCCACGAATCTTTCCTTTCCACATACAAGTGTGATAATTTTAAAAACACAAGGGAGATTCCAAGAAAAGTAATTTAATTTTGGCAGACACGCGACCAAATCTCAACCTTGATTCAACTTTTCGTTAGCTTTTTTCACAGATAATATTTAAAAATTATCTTTAATTTTTTTCATTATTGATACCCTAACCCTCCATTTCTTCATCATCACTATCTTGATATAGTTATCTATATCTGGTCAGATAGATTAATGTAGCATAAAGAAACAAATATTAAATAAATCAGCACATTGGCAAATTTATTACACACACAGACACGCACGCACACACGCGCACACACGCACGCACGCATGTATGTCTATATATCTTTCAAACAAATTGATCCAAAAATGTTATTATTGTTGTTATGATCGGCCATGATGATTTAAAGGTTCTGCATGACTGGAGGATGCAATGTTTTTTTGGCTCACTTGGGGCCAATACTAACACCAGGCTTTATATATTACGTAACAATCGTCGTCGTCATCATCATCGTCGTCGTCGTCAACATCGTCATCGCCATAGATGTCGTCTGCGTCATCACTGTTATCATGAAGGATAATAGTATCAACCATGTTGATATGATAAATAACACAAAAGAGAGTATCATCATCTTTTTCGTTATCATCTTCATCTTCTTCTTCATTTTTCTTCCCATCGCATCCATCATTAATTTTTACTCATTATTATAACTAATTTTGATATAATTGTTAGTGTTATCCAACTGATCATTGTTGCGTCATCATCGTAATCATCAGCGTAGTCTTCGTCACCATCGTTATTGTCATCGTCGTCGTCATCATCGTCATCATTCTGTGACGAATCGAACGCGATAGTTTTTTCACGTGAGCACGGACAATCAGTGATCGAAACCTTTTTAAAAGTTCGCCAAAAATCATCGAATGTTCGCGTGTTCGTTCATTTTATCATTTGTTCGTCTGTTTATCTGTGTGTCTGTATATCCGTTTGTCTGTTTTTCTCTGTACATGTCAATCAACACTTCTCCCTCTTCTCTTTCTCTGCATTTTCTCTCTGTCTTTGTCAGGCTCTCTAAACCTATTTCTATATTTCTATTTTACTATCCCTTTTTTTCTCTTTTTCGTTCCTGTTCTTCCTTACTCTCATATATCTCTCTCTCTTTTTCTCTCTCACTCTCTTTTCTCTCCACTCCCTCACTGTTGTTTTCATATCTTCCGCTCAAATGTTGGCGAAAAAATTCGCGATCGCTCGCTTCGAGTTCGCGCTTTTTATTGAAAGTTGCTGCTGTATTTGCCGTTTCAATTGTATGTAGAAAGATAATTTAATTTAATTTTTCAGCGAATTGAATAATTTTTAAATTGTGGATAAAAAAAACTATATATTAATGACGGTAGATATGTATGAACGAGCGTAGAAAAGAATGGATTGAATTAGTGAAAGATTAAACGATTGACTGGTTGAATGAATTGAGTGAATAAATGAATGAATAAATGAATGAATGGATTAATGAATGAATTTATGGATGAATAAATGAAGGAATGAAAAAATAAATAACTTAATGAACACGTCAAAAATCAAAATTCGTTTTTTTTTCTATTTTGTTGAAAATGCTACCAGAAAGAAATCATTGAAAACTATTTTTCACTAGCAGCTCTTTATAACAACTGAATTTGGATGACATTTAAAATGATGACGACTATGATGATGACGACGACGATGATGATGATGGTGAATACGAGAATAATGATAATGATGATTGTTACGATTTTGATGATTTTATATGTAAATATGACAGCTCAACACGAGCAACAGCCGTTATACAACCAACATGAACTATCTCAACAGCTAAAGTATCGAATACCATATCGTCATCAACAACAACAACATCCACCACAACAACAACAACAGCATCAACAACAACATCAACAACATCTACAACAACAACAACATTATCATACTCATCAAAATCATCATCAACAACA